TATCTCTCTCAACTAGCTAAATATAATAATGACGTCCAGAGACCAAGTTTTTTTGGCATCTAGAATGTCAGCGAAGCCAAATTTTAAGTCTAATTAGGGTTTATTTTAAGCCAGTTTTCATGGAATAAACCTAATATATGTTAAATCAGTTTATAAAGGTAAATATTTCTTATAAATTTTTCCTGAGTGAATAAACAATAACAACAACAACAAGATATTAAGATCTAATAAGATATTAAGCAGTCGTGGTGCAGTGGTAGCGCACTTGCCTCAAAAACGAAAGATCCGTGGTTCAAACCCCACCTTTGGGCAAGTTATGTGACGTCGGTTAGGAAGGAGGCGTCAACTTTCTATTAAATGCTCTTCCGCGGTGCTCTGTGAAAAGACTGTAAGGAATTCTTGGGGCACCTGAATCAACATTAAAAATATATATATATATTTATTTTCCTCAAAATTTGCAATCATTTAATTACAATAATATACTAATAATAATAACAATAGTAATAATAATAATCATAACAACAACAACATTAGTAATAATAATAAAAATAAGAATATCTATAATATTATAAATAATAAAATCAAAATATCATTATTAAAAATAAATATAAATAAACGATTGACAAGAAAGGAGTCACTAATGCAGAAATACAACAATAATATAACTAAAATTTTAATTTTAGTTATATTATTGTTGTATAAAAGTTTTTGTTTTGAAGATGAAAAAAATATTAGTTCAGTTTTTTCCAAGTTCAGAGAAATTAAGTTTGCGTTTAGCTCATGAACTAAACCTTTTAGATCTAAGATTATATTCTTGCATAAGGAATGATGAGACTTATTAATATTCAAGTTATTAGTATCGTCAGCAATCAAATGGACCCATAAGAAATGGACAGAGTTATTTAAATCATTAATATAAATCAAATACAATAAAGGGCCAAGAACAGAACCCTGGAGAACACCACAAACTATGTGTATGTTATTTGATCTGTAAACATTAAAGTGAACAAACTGCTTCCGATTTCAAAGATAAGATTGAAACCAATAACAAGGAACTCCTCGGATTCCGTAATGCTCAAGTTTAGAAATTAAAATGGTATGATTAACAGTATCAAACGCTTTTTGTAAGTCGATAAAAACACCACCAACAAAATGACCAGTATCCAGTGTCTTTTTTATTTTTTCGGTTATACTTATTAAATCGAATGTTTTGATCGAATTCTAACCGAAAATCATTTAAACAGTTTAAGGAACTCAAAAATATAATCATATTCTAAAATACGTTAGTTTTTTAAGGTGCTTGCTAATGTTAGATAGAATTGAAATTGGTCTATAGTTAATACATGAGATTTGAGCCATTTTTATATACTGTAATGACACAAGTTAATTTAAAAATGTCAGGAAAAATTCCATTTAAGAAAGAGATATTAAATTGCTTAGAGAGAATATGAGAAAATTTAGCCTTAAAATCAATAAGAATGTTTGTGGGGATGCTGTTAGGACCTATTGATTTTCCAGGTTTTAATTTAGATATAAGCAATAAGATTTCAAAATAATTTGTTGGAGATATCAGTAAACTATGAAGATTTGGATGTTTAAGATTTAAAAAGTCCGACTCACCCAGAAATTCCTTTAACATTCACTTAGTCGATCAATAAATAAATTTCCATCAAGAGTCTGATTAAAAACTAACTACGGAAACACTAACATTTCTAATAAAGTGAAAATAAATTCATCTTATTACAACTTTTTAAAGTCCACTCAATTCTAGAACTTATTTTAATGGTGTATATTATGACTGCATAAAGATCATAAATATAACAGTTTTTGACTCTCAGACCGCCAATTACAAAGTGATGCAGGTTATATATCGATTAACATTTCTATTCAGATTTTTTACTGAATATTTCGCAACTAAAAAAGGGTCGCAACTAAATAGAGCCAAGGACATGGATTTTAATTGCTTTTTGAGTTATCTTTATCGAATTATAAATGTTAAAAAAACAGATAAAAACCATTCATTTATTCATCCATTCATTTTACAAAAAATGACCAAGCAATGTTTCAAAAACGTAATTATTTTACGTAAAAATTTTTCTAAAAAAAAAGGTAGTGTTTAGGGTAACTGGACATTTAAAATAAGCTACAGCCCCCTCAGCACGATAAAAACATAATCATTGCTACAGTTAGGTAAACGAGTTGAACCATTGCAATAGCTACTTTTATTTTAGTTTCTGCAACAGGTTGCAATTAAGCAGATTCAGACCTTCGTTGGTGTTTGTAAAATTAGTTGGGACATTTATGCAAATTTACATTAATGCAGGATTGCAATTAGGCATGGTTACTAAATTTTCTATTGAACAGACAACAAAGTTTAGTAATCAATAATAAAATCTAAATGGCTTCCAGTACATATTTTATCATGTACCCTACCTTGTGATACCCTAAACTCTACCCTGTGGTACACCTCAATATTTCCTGTGGTCTACCACAAGGTAAAGTCATATCACAAAACCTATTTAATTTATTTATAACATGTCTTAGTTAGTTCACAGTATATAGAATCTATTTGCAATTTCAATAAGACAATTTTTGCAATCACGAACTAAAAAGATCGAGAATTATCACAAAATGGTTATAACAAACGAGTATTAAAATAAAACAAGAAATGAAGCATGAAGTCAAAAAAATATGCGTAGTCATGATAATTTTGACTAAATTTTTGTATATCGAAGCTTTTTTATTACAATATATTAAAAAAACAAAACATTGTAATTTATATGTTGTGCAGACAAGTCTTTTTATTTTATATTCTCTGCATTAATCAATAATTGTTAATGAAAATTTAACTAAAACATACTACTCAATTGTTACTACATTTACCTATAAAATAATTTTATAAGTTAATACCGGGATTTTTCTTACAAAAGAAATTTAAAATTAAAGTAGCAAAAAGTTTATTAAAACTTTAAATAAAAAAAGATAAACACATTTTTGCATTGATGCAAGATTGCAATAAGTTTTGCACTTATGCAGGTGATCTACATGACATTTTATCTACATAATATTGTACCGATATAATTGTTCTCTAAGTTGAGCCTCGAATTTTAATAATTTTTTTTCGTTTCTTGTTTTTTCTGGTTGTTAAAGTGCTCTAAGAAGACCACTGCTAATAAGCGTTTAACAAAAAACTTCTCGCCGTCTTTTTTACCGATACTATATATATGTCAAAGCTGTTAACAAGCCTCAAATCTTTTGATTCTGAAACTAACGCTCTAACCATTGCGTTGCGGTTTCTCAGAAAAATAATAAGTTGTCTAAAAGTATATTTATAATTGTTTCTTTTATTTCAATTATTTATTTAATTAAAAATTAATTTAAATTAATTTAAACATTTTAAACTAATTTTTTAGACAAATTTGTCAACATTTAAACCTAGATTAATCTAGACTTCGATATAGGCTTGTTCTGTTACTCCCTTTCAACTCGAAATCGCATAGGTTTTAGGTACGTAAAAGCTGTTTACATTATTTATAAAAAAAAAGTTATTCTTAATTTAAAAAATGTATATTGTTTTAACTTTAAAGTTAAAGTTGTAAGTAACAATACGTTTGTCAATTAAGTAGTTTCAATCAAAGTTTTATTTTTAGTATTTACAATAATTACCATTTAATCTGAATAACTGGGTTCTATATTAATCCAGTAAATATGATCAGGAATGGTTAGTTAATCAAGTTAATCAAATCCAACTGTAAATAAATCTAGTTTTTAACAATAAAGTCTTTATATCTAAAAGTATCCTATTACGTAAATTAAATTAAGTAAAGCTGAAATATTCTATTTGATAATTTTTTCAAGTTACGTTACGATTGATTACTTTAAAAAAAAAAGATAAATATTTGATGCCGTTTTATTTGCAGTATTAAGTGTATATGCTGAATTGATTACTTTATAAAAAGCTAAATATTTGATGCCGACTTATTTGCAATATAAAGTATACATGCTGGACTATTTAAAATAGATATGTTATATGAATATAATATATCACATTACGACTGAAAAAGATGTCATTAAATAAACAATTGAGTTATTTTGCATGTTTTATAAGGACCACACATTAACACACACATAACTTGCGTAAAAATAAAAAAAGATAGTTAATGTGAATATATTAGGTAAAGAAAGAGTTTGTCTCGTTTGAGCAGTTTTTCTTCTTCTCATAAACTTAATAGAATAAACTTAATATTATAGGCTTAAAAAAAAAATTAAAGTGTTTTATAAATTATTTGTAAATTTAATAAATAAAACCTTTGACTTAGTTTACAATTTGCTTCAAAAAGCAAAAATACTATGTACAGAAAACATCCGGATACTTATATACGTAGGTACATATCATAAAATACCCGGATATCTTGTGTTTAATTTTAGAAAATGTTCATCAAGTTATAAAAAAAATTTCACTTAATTTGTACTCTTGTCTTTTCTTTGTTAAAACTTGCTTTAAATTTAAACTAACTTCTTTTAGGCGTTTTAAAATATTTTTTTCTTCTGTTTTTTTCTTGACTTCTTTTTTAAACAATCATAAATACATAGTTAAATAAATACTCACACCCCCTTCACCCTAGAATAAGTTCGTTATTTTTTATATGTCAATTTGTTACTCAATAATTAACGCATTTCTAATTTTATAAAGTTTAAACTTTTTTAAAATAAATACTTAACATGCTATACCAAATAGAAAAACTCGTAAACTAAGTTTAATGTACAAATAACTTAAATGATGCAATCAATCACTAATTACCCGATTTCTTCTTTATTAGTCAACGTATGTTTATGTAAAAAAGAATTACTTTGAGAACCACCTTCATAAAATTTCTAAGATACCCCTGATACACCTCGATAAACACTCAGAATTTATAAGTAAATTTTAGCAACAATGTTTAATCAAAAAATTGCCAAAAATGCTCTTTTAATACAAAAGATAATTACTTCAAACTTACCAATAACTATTGGCGCCAAAGACAAAGTATTATCTATACAAATCAATAAAAGTATTCTTTTTAAAATTTTGGGCATTGAAGCCATTTTTTACCTTTAGTGAACAATAATAATTTTAGATATTTTTATTCTTAAACACGCGTTAATAATTGTAATAAATAACAAGATCCACGAGATCTTTAGTACACTTTTACGATGACGTAATCTATTGAAAAGAAAAACTGTTTTGACAAACAAAACAATCTTTGTAAAATAAAACTAATATTTATAAAGCTTATTATAAAATTAAAAAACAAACAAACACAAATGTTAAGAAGTTGAATTTTTTTCAAGATCAAATCACTAAAATGGCAAAATATATATTTTTTTAATCCAATTTAGAAACGTGGTGCAGAATGAGATCTATAGCAAAACCAATCAGAGGAACTTAACATTTTAGTCAAAAATTATTAGACTTAAGTATGCAAAAATTAATAGACTTAACTAAGCAATTAACAGATATGATCTGTTACCTATTTAATTTATTTGTAGACCTATTTAATTTATTTGTAACATGTCTTAGTTAGTTCAAAGAATCTTGAACCTATTTGCTGGTGACAGTAAAATAATTTTCACAATCACGAGCTGCAAAGATCAAGAAATATTACAAGTAGTGATTAGAATTCTGGCCTCAGAACCGTTGGTTTGTTGTTTTCTTCGTTAAATGCTATTCCGCAGTGCTCTGCGATAAGAACGTATTGACTAGTTGGAGCACCTAAACAAATGATGTATATATATATATATATATATATATATATATATATATATATATATATATATATATATATATATATATATATATATATGTATATATATATATGTATATATATATATATATATATATATATATTATATATATATATATATATATATATATATATATATATATATATATATATATATATATATATATATATATATATATATATATATATATATATATATGTATAGTTATTTATTTTAATTAAAACATCAAACGTGTACAAATTATCCAAAGATCAAAACAACCATTTCCTTAATAACGCAATTACTTTCACGTATAAAAAGGCTGACCCTAAACTTAAAGATAAAATAAATAAACAAGGTAAAAAATCTTAATTAACAATGATGTATACAATAAAATTGAAATTAACAGATTGTTTCATAACTCTAAAAGACCATAGAGAGAACTTCCGAGTTAAACTTAATGTTAGTCTTATTAATCCTGCTAAAAATGAGATTGGAAGAATTTCAAAATCTATTTTATCCAACATTAATTTCGAGCGGAGAAGGAAACTTTTTGAAAGCTTACGCTATTGACGAAAATATTAGCACGATTTAAAATTTTTAAACCAATGGCAAAACATTGGTTTAAAAATTTCAAACCCAAAATGTTATACATTGGTTTTAAACAATAAAAAAAGCAACAACTGTTGCATAACAACATATAACAATAAAAAGTGAACAAAAGAGTTTCAAATACCATGCAAGAAAATTAATATTATTTAGCAGTGGAACTGCTTGGATTAAGAAAAAGGGAGGATTGTTCAATGTCACTATGGGGGCCTTTGATAGCGCGGAGATTTGCAAATTAGTTGGGATTTTTATTTTGCATCAAATCTCGCAGTTTTCTGATAAAGGCAATTTCGGTATATATTGAGATGACGGATTAGCAATGTTTCGGAACAAAAGTGATCAAGAAAAGGAGAGAATAAAGAAACATTTTGTACAAATTTTTAAAAATAACGATCTCTATTAAGTGTAATTTGAAAATAATTAACTATCACGATTTAACGCTAAACCTTAACGATAGTTCTTTTCAGTCAAACCGCAAACCAGATAATATACTGCATTATTTACACACTAGTTCTAATCATCCACCAATTGTAATAAAAGGTATTCCTAAGACTATTGAATAAAGATTATTGCAGCATCGTCAAGTAAATCAATTTTTAAAGAAAGTAATTCTCCTTATCAAGAAGCCCTGAAAAATATTAAATAGAAACACAATCAAAATAAGTTATTCTTGCTTGTCAAACATAAAATCTATTATTAACTCTCACAGTAAAAACACTTTACATAAGGAGGCAAAAATTAATGAAAACATGCAACTGCATTGACAAATCCAAATGTCCAACGAACAACCATTGCCTTGCTAACAACATTCTTATCACAGAGCACCAAGGAATAGCATTTAACTTATGCAATAACAAATTTATTAGAGGACCTAATGTATGGAATAAGTTAATTAGTAATAATATTAAAACACTTACAACTCTTGAACAGTTTTAAATAACAATCAAACAGATTTTTGTCCTTGTTTTTTAAAATTTGCCAACTGCACTCCGACTGCCATAACGACATTTACCGACTGATCGTCTAAATTTACCGACTAACTTGTCAAAAGAGTGTACATTTGCAGACTAACTCGTCCAAAAGGGTCAAATTTGCCGAATAAATGAACGAAAAAATCATTGATGGGCGGTGTCACACCACTCCATCGCGCCGGCCTTGGATTAAGCAAGAAGAAGACATAATTCTGCCTTATCACCAAGCCCCATTTTTATAAAACCGTGATTTATAAATATCATATTAAAATAGCGTAAATATACAAAGTAGCAAATAGTAATTGCTAAAATGCTTACATCTGCAGTTTCAAAAAGAAAAAGAAGACAGCTGCAGTTGCAAAAAAACGATTATATACTGGTAATAAAAAAAAAAAAATAAGACGAAAAAAAAGAGATATATACATATATTTATATTGAGAGAGTAATATCATTAATAATCTTAGTTATGGTAGATTTTTTTTCAAAGTTATCATGATTTTTTATGAGAGATTTACTTTATTTAAAAGAAACATTTAAAATCTAGCATAATAAGATCCATAAATAAAAACAACCGTTTAGGTACTTTTTTAAATCGATCAAAAGTGGTTTTCTTTTTAATTTTAATATCAGAGAATAAATTCCATAAATATGGCCCACGATACTTAATTGAGTATGAACTCAATTTTAAACTCTATCTTGGGACAGCAAAGTTGTTGACTGAGAATCTTGTGCTAAATTTATGGCAGATTTCAATAAAAAAGAATTCGAATATTTTTGGCGACATGCGTAGCTTAGTTCTATACATAAAAACTAAAATTTCATGTAAATTTATTTTATAAATATTTAAAGTTCCGCGTAAACACAGTAAAGGCTCACAGAGTTCTGCTCTATTTGCTCCAAATATAATTCGACATGCAATTTTTTGTTTACTATAAAGCTTTTTTAATTTTGTGTGATTGATCCTTGCCCAGGCGATATTACAACATGTTAGGTAATTTTGGATAAAAGCAAAGTATAAACCTTTTAGCGATTTAAAATTAAGAAATTGTTTAACTCTATAAATCATTCCTATATTTCTAGAAATTTTTTTTTCAAGACTTAAATTTTCGTCCAACTCAACGCCTAAAAAGTTTACCGATGATTCTCTTTTAATTATAGCTTTATTTATAATAAGGTTTGGTAATTTCAATGGGACGTTATCAGTTTTATATAATTTTTGGAAAATAATGAACTTAGTTTTATCAGTATTAAGAGAAAGTTTATTACATACAAGCCACTCATTAACTTTATCTACTTGTTCATTAACATGTTTAAAAAGTATTTTAATATCTTTGTGTGAATAAAAGAGATTAAAGTCATCTGCAAATAGAACAAAACTTATAAGATTTGAAGATAAATGAAGATCATTTATGTACAGTAAAAACAACAATAGCCTTAGAATAGAGCCCCATTATACCATTATAAACCAGCCTTGATAACTTGTGGAACCCCACAAGTTATCAAGGGTATAACTTTTTTTTTTGAATCGTAGCATAGGAATTATTTTCTGTTTGTTAAATAGTTTTTAAACCAATGTAAATTTTTGTTTCTAATGCCATAGTGTTCAAGTTTACTTCACAGTATAACATGGATTACTGTATCAAAGATTTTGGATAGATCAATAAAAACTCCTAATATAAAATAATCGTTGTTTTGAGCGTCCGATATCATATTTACAAGCTCAACTACTGCGTGTTCGGTTGAACCCGACTGCTTTTTGCACAAGAAGTCGTTTTTTGTTAGATAATCATAGAGTCTGTTGTACATTATACCCTCAAGTATCTTTGAGAAACAAGGCAAGATTGAAATCAATCTGTGTTGTAATGTTAGAGTCATCACCACTCTTAAAAATTGGTGTGATTCGAGCAATTTTTAACTTATCCGGAACAACACCTGATTTTAAAAAAAGTTTAAAGATATGTAGTATAGATGTTTCAATGACATCAAGTACAGATATTACAACATTGGCGCTAATTTTATTAAAATTTGCGCTTTTTTTTTTTTAAGGCTATTAAGAACATCTCGAAAATAGCAAACATTAAGATTTGATTTGTCCATATGCAATGATAAATCAACATTTCGCAACAAGTAAAAATTTGCAGTGTAAAAAAAAAAGAGTTTAAAATTTTTATCTACTGATAAGAGGCGTAGCCAGGGTTTGATAACAAAAGGAGCGAGTTTTATAAAGTGGTACCATATAAAAAAATGCTGATTTGATTGAATGCTGGTTTTTTCTGTTCTGGGAACTTCAAAATTATTTTTTTAATTTACAATAATAATTTACATATTCTAAGCATGTTTTAAAACTTATTTTCCTTAATATAGACCCATGTAACGAAAATGAGGTTACAGGGGCATGTTGCTGCTATTGTAACCTCAGAGGTTACAAAAACTGGTTACAATAGCATTTTACTGTTTTTTACTGCACCTGCTACTGCATCAGGTATCAAGTCATTTCAAAACCTTGTATGTAGATTTTGAGAACACAGCGTGTTGAGGTTAGATTTTGGTAACATTTTTAAATTTAAATAAGCAAACTAATCTTCGTAATTCCAATAAATATTCAAAACAGATGTTTGATAGCGGAAACATACTCAAAAATCTTCAACAATTTTATAGCGGAAACATACTCAAAAATCTTCAACAATTTGATAGCGGAAACATACTCAAAAATCTTCAGCAATTCGTATTGAACCCATATTATTGTAACTGCACTTATATTTGTAATCAAATTTATAATCAGTAATTAGCTAGAAGCTGTTCTTTAAAAGCTGTTATAACTACATATCTTTTCAAGTTTTACTAGATTTATTGAAAATTGTCTTATTACTTATCAAAAATGTTACAAATGCTGATAAAATATAAATTCGTTAATTTATGCATAATGACCCAATAACACATTAAAAAAAGGGCGTTTGTAGCCTATTATAGCTTTATTCGCCTTGGTTTCATACATCTAATACAGCTTCATGAATAAGGTCATTTACCAAGTATCTTTTTTTATGGGTATTAGTGTTAAGCTTTATAATTGTTCCTCAATCATAGTGGACCAAAAAATATGACATTAGAGCCTTTAATTGGCTGAAAGAACGTTCTGGAGAAGCAATAAAAAAAGACAGTGCTATGTATATTTTGTGCAACGTTAAGATATTTAGGTAAATGTTACAGAGATCACTAGTTAGTAGAAATTATGAGACTGTTCTTTTCTTCTACCATTAATCATATTAGTAACCTTTATTATTTAATTATTTTAATCAGTTACTATTATTTTTATTATTATCTATTATCAATATTATTACGTACTTGTTTTTATTAGTTTTAGTACTTTTATTATATATAAATAACTTTAATTTTTGTTCCTTGGTTATTGTGTCTGCTGTATTATTATTATTATTATTATTGTTATTATTATTATAATTTTTTTTTTTTATTTTATTTTAATTTTTTTTTAATTTTTAATTTTTTTTTTATTTTTTTTACTTTTTTTGATTTAATATTTAAAAGGTTTTTTCGGTTTTTTTTTTTTGGTTTTTTTTTTTTGTTTAGTTTTGTTTTGTTTTGTTTTGTTTTATAAGGTCTCTGCTTTGAATTAGTCGTGTACTATTTGCACTGTCCCTTCACAATAATATAGTTGTAATATTTATATTATATTGTAAACGGTATCTATTTTTGTGATAAATATATCGATTGATTGATTGATTAATGTTCAACTTTTTTTTTTCCTATTTGTTCGCAAAGGTTTTTGAACCTAAAGAAATTATTAAGCAACATTACCCAAAGTTGTGATATCATTTAGTTTTAATAAGTTAGTGTCAATAAAGCGTTTCAGACTCAAAGCAAATCTTTCCATACTCTTACGTTGGTCTTCTTTGAGCTGCTTTAACCAAGACAAAATGCTCGTATAAAATGTCTATCCAAACAAATTGGTTTTGCAGAAAATATTCATAATTTTTTTGAATCTTTTTTGCAGCATAGAAATTTCATCCGATATGGTACTTGCACCTTCATATGACTGGCCTAAAGAAATATCTGCTAGGATACGAAGGTCAAGTAAAAAGTACTTAAGAAGAATAAAAGTTGTTTTTGAACTATATTGGGTAATTCTTTAGCACTGAATTAACCTTCAAATGAATCTCTAATGGCTGAAACAGTGTGAAACCTATTATACCTGCAAAATACTTTGCATTCTTTACTTTTGAACATATTTTTGCAAAGACTTCAGATTTCGAAGTCTATATAAAACGTTGCAGTAATTTTAAATTACATGCTGCTCGAAAACATGAAAGAAGTTTCATCAGTTCAATAAAATTCAAATGTTATTTTCTATTTTTCTGAGGCATTCTCTTACGCATCGCAAAAACCATTTTACAATTCGATATGCAAAACTTTGTAAGAAATAGCTGCCCCATAAAACCTTCATTGCTTTTTGATGATTCGTGCTTCTCAAGTTTTTAAAAAAATTTTTCAGAATTTGTACATCTTTTTTAACAATTGTTCCTAGAAGAGTCTGCTTCAAATGCTAAAGATCCTGCTAACGAAACAAAACATAGCATTAATTCTTGGGGAATAAATCAAATAGTGTTAAATATTTTACTTTTCTCTTAAACCTTTAAACAATTTTTTTTGCACTGCTGACAACACTTTATCTCAGCACTGCTTTGCAATGCTGAGATAAAGTGTTGTCCTCTATCATCTTTTATGAAGTACTACTATGTCCTAGCTGGCACGACCTATACTGTACCCATACTATATAAAGCCTTTAATTACTGCAGGCAAAGGTCTGTTGTATAGCTTACTGTTTAAGATAGACTTCATTAAAAGTAGAAGTACATATGGCTGTATTATCATCAGTAATGATTGTATTGGTCGGTTAGCATTTGGTGTTTGTTGTAGCATCATGTCATTGAATTTTTATTGAAATGAACCATTAGTTCGTGAACTTATGGCGTTATCATTACGGTTATTCCCATCTGTGGCTCTTAGAAAGGAAATAAATTAGGAAAAGTTTTAGTTTGCTGGAAATTTTTTGCAGACAGACTGCAAAAAATTTCCAGCAAACTAAAATTTATTCCTAATTTAATCTGCCCCACGAGCAATAATGCAGCATAACTATTTTTTTGATTATGGGAGTTTTTTAAGGAGGTATGTAAAAAGTTTGAGCCTTCTTTTCACCAACATATATACATATTGTGTATATTTTATTTTTTATACTTGTTGCCAGACAATATCTGTTTTTTAAAATTTAATAACATGTTTTCACTCAAAAAATTGTTTGAAAAAAACATAGATATGTAATTTCTTTATAACCAAATATTAAAACTGTACAAAACTGTATAAAAATCTATGAAACTGTATAAAGCTGTATAAAACTATTAATTGTATGAAACTATTAATTAAAAAAAAACATGTAGTTAATTGGGAAAAATGCATATGATTAGTGCCTTTCATTATTCATTAAATTAAATTTACAAGGTCAAATTACACATTATCACTTTACAGTTTATTTACAATATCTTTACAGGTTATTTAAATTGAATTAATTTCATTAGTTATTTATTAAGATTGCGCAAAGCTAAAAATGAAAAGCACTGCGTCGCTAAATTTCAAAAAGACGTAATCAGTTTAAAATCTTTTGATAGGGCGAGTATTCGCTCCTCTTGCACTCGCTACTCGCTGGATACACTCGCTACTCGCTCACTACTTGCTGACGAGTAGAATAAGATTATATCATTAATAACTTGTTGTTTTTTAAACTTTGCCAAAAAATCAATTGTTTTGCATTTAAGTATTGGAATAGCGGAATTCATAAAAAATAGTAACTTAAAATAGTTTTTTAAATCTCCTGATGATGACGGCCAGGCTGGAACCGTCCAACAGGTCTAAGTTTGCACTAGTTTATCAAGAAGTTTGCAGCTGCATACAGAAGATAACTTGCTGCAGGAGTTGAGTTTAATTTTTGAAAGCAATGTAACAAAAAACAGTAAGAATAGTATAAAGATTTACAACACTTATGTTTTTTCTGTATTAACGGTCCATATAACTAGTTTATGGATATTAAGTTATTAATATCATAGAATTTAAATAAAGTATTTTTTGCATTTAGATTTAATCAGCTTCAGAATAAGCATCTACTAAAGCTTTTGTGGAAAAGTACATTCCTGCTCCGGCTGAAAAAGTTCCAAAAATTAAAATAATAACGTCTATAATCATTTCCAATTTATCAAGCTTTTTTAGCTTTATATGAAACAAGCAAGGAAAAATAAAAGATAAACACATTCCTGTGAAATTTCCAACAAAACTCATATACAAACCAAAATGAGGTACTAAAACGGCAACCGCTAATGCAATTCCAATTAAAGATAATCTTATAACTGCACGCTTCCATTTCGACATTTCTTGGGCAGTATTTTCAGTTGAAATCTTGGGTGTCTCTTTTTTTTTCGGACTTTCTTCATTTGTTGCAACAGTAGAAGCATTTAAAATATTTTCTTCACTGTCGGCCAGGTTTTTTAAAACATTTGAAGACAATAACTTGTTAACTTTTTCATTCACCCATCTGTTTTGTAAATTGATCTTATCAAACAGGACAAACACGGTGTAAGCAGGAAATGTGAAAGAAAGCAGTGCCAATGTAAGTACACAAACGTTGATGATAATTTTAAATGGTCCATGAGGTAGGTTATTGGTTATGACTTGTTTTGTTTCCTCTTTAAAAGTTAAATAACCAATCAAACCAAAAATTACTTTAACAAGTGTTATAGAAAAGTAAGTTAAATTCATTACTGTCCCATAATCTTTTTTATTTTTCATGCTCCCTTCAATAGCTGGCATATAAGGCTGCGACGAATAGCTTACAACAACGATTCCCATGGAAACAAAAAACTGTCCGACATTCCAATTAGGAGTTTCATGTATTTTCCAGTCATCAGATTTATATACAGCATACACTGCAACAGTAACATATACAATTTGTCCGATCACAACAGTTAAAAAACTTACAAATGCAACCTGTCCTAAATTCATCATAAATGCGTTTGGAATGACCAAGACAAATGCTAACAAAGACCAATGAAATTTTTGGATTGGAGCGTTTGGAAATGAGCTATGAAGAATCGATCCACAGAGTATTAACAACAACGTGCAGTAAGAAAGTTGTTCAACAAGCATTGCTATGTATACCATCCATTTACCAATGTTCCCATAAAACGCTTCTCCTATTTCTTCATATGATGATCGAGTACGCACCTCAATTCCTGTTTCAGAATCTGTGTCGTACAAACAACGAACAAGTTTTTTGCTTGTGTAGTTGGAGATTATAGCAACAAAAGCGGTAAACATTAAACTTAAATAAGTACCTGAAAGTACTACAAAAGGCATTGATAAAATTACTACTCCTTGGTTTGCATTAAATATGTTCCAAAATGTTTGGATGTTAGATACCTTTTTAGCATGCGTAGATTGATTTTGGATACTTTCTCCATCTAAAAGAAATTCTGTACTTCCCTCATCTTCTTCTTTGTCCTCTGTTTTTGAGCACATTACATCAAAAGTGTTTTTTAAATTTCCAACAAATTCTTGAAAAACAGGTTTTGAAAACCACATTTTAACTGTTAAAACACTGGGCGTTAAGTGTTAAAATACGGGTCTTAAAAAAGTAATTATTTATTGCACCTTTATTTAGTTGAATACGCAGTAGTTGACAGTTTTTTATACTCCTTTAAAAAATTTTTAAAATGGAATTAACAATCCTTTATATGAAATAAAAATGATCCAATTAACTCGATTCATAATTGATTCTTTAGTTAACATATATGTTAAGTATTAGTCGAATTTTGAAACGTTTATGCTTTAGAGCGGAGTTTTATTTTCTTTTATTAAGTATGGTATATACAACTTTTTTTAAAAATTCAAAATCTATTGCATTCAATTTCAGACTTATATAAAAATAATCACCATTCACCAATTGTTTTCATTGAATTATGTTTTCTAAGACACTGTGCTTTTTGACTTGATTTTTTTTTTCCGATTAAACACGAAGGACTTACTTGTCTTTTATTTTAAAAAGGCTTTTTTATTGTATAATAGAAAAACACACTAAATAAGGCGTAAAATAGAAAAGGAAATAATAGAAATATATATATTTTATACAGTTTTAATCAATTAAATATATATTTATAAATATATATTTAATTAATTAAAACTGAGTAAAAATAAAAAAATATCAATCGTATTTTAATGTTTTTTTTTCGTATTTTATCGTGTTTTTAACAGTATTTGATTATATTGATTACATACGCCAACAACAACAAAAAAATTTCTGTTGCCGAGCAAACAATACGTTTCTCGTAGAATATTTATTTTGATTTCAACTCATTTTTCACCATCACGTCAAGTTGTAAAAATATTTGGGTTCAAATCTTTATTATTTGGAATAAAATCCCTCATATTGTCAAAAAAAATTTTCAAGTATGTCAAATTGGGTCTTAAAAGAAGCATATTTCATAACAATTAAAAAAAAATTCGTTTTTGATAAAAATGAATGTTTATTATATAATTGCTAAAAAACATTGTTAAAAGTCTTTTAAGGGTCTTGAACATTTTTTCACAATATTTTCTTGTTTGTAAGTTTTAATTAATAATATTTTTGTTTTCTTTAATCTCCAGAGGAGGAGAGGGGGGGGGGCTGAGTTTTTAAAAAGTACTGAATTAATTCTTAAAAAAAAAATTAAAAAAAAAAAGGTCTTCAAAACTAAAATTTACTGACTTAACTTTGTAAAATACTCGACTAGCCGATTAAGTTTGTAAAAAAACCGAATATAACTTAAAAACCGCTTTCTTTTTTTTTTCTCGAGAAGGAGTGGGGGGGGGGGGACACCCCCTATAAAATTGGGATTGGCCATGGGATTGCCTTTGGATTTAGGTTGACAAACTTTTAAAAAAATGTTTTTTTTACAATATAAGGGATTTTATCCCAAATGCTAAACATTTGAATATAATATCATTATAACTTGACGTGATGGTGAAAAATGAGTTGCATAATTGAGAAATGTCTCACAAAAAATGTATTGTTTGCTCGGCAGCAGAAAATTTTTTTTTTTTCAGTTGACCTATTTTTTAAGATTTTTACTTTAAAGATTTATTTTACTATTTTCATGATATTTTAATATTAAGAAATTAATAATTAAGAAAATAATATGAACCAAATATCAAATAAATACTTAAGTTTCCAGATTGTGAGAGGCAATTTATTTTGAGGTTGTCAGATGTTTTTTTTTCTTTGGATAACGTATTAATGTTTTATTTAAATAAAATATGCTAACTGCTGGCTGTAAACACTAAATTATTGAATTATATTTTTGCGCGCATTTGCAGGCTTTACTTGCGCGCATTTGCAGGCTTTACTTGCGCGCATTTGCAGGCTTTACTTGCAAGTAACTTCTCAAAATGCATCTACTTGTTATTCTACTGTGAACAGTTCTTTTTACTTGAGTTACAAAATATGTCTACCCAAGCGTAAAGTGTTTGAATAATTAATAATAACTAAAGCGTAAAACGTTTTGATGTGCATGTTCCCTAAACCACCTCGTTATACTTGGTAGTCTAAATTAACTTACCTGTCTCTTACGCTACAACATCGCTACAACGTCGCACAAGAGTCTACTGTTTACAGTTTGTGCAGCATGTCTCAATCTAAAGGTTATGTTGTTTTTACACGCATTCGATTTAGTTTATTTAAAATAAATAAACTAAAAAAAACAATTAAAAAGCAAACAAACAAGTAAACAAAACTTAATACGTAACTAGAAAGAAAAAAAAACTTGTAGAAAGACGAAAATGTTGTACCAGATAATACCATGGTACTATAAGTTAAACTTAGTACCAAGTTCAACTTTTTTTTTTCCGCATATTGGAGACAGAAATAATTGTATTAAATATAATTTTAATGATGCATTACTAAAGTAAAAAAGTATGCATTACTAAAGTAAAGTGACAAAATTAAAAAAAAAAAAGTAAAAAAGAATAATTGGATTATAAATAAATCCTTGAAGAACGCTGTAAAAGTGTCATTTTAAACTCCACATTTATTATTGACCATATATTCTGTTTACCAGCAAATATAGTCTTCATATTTAAGTATAATCTCTTATATTTGTTTTCTTTCTTAAAAATGAACTTATATAAACAAATATCATGAATTTATATAACCAAAAATAATGAATTTATATAAACAAAATTAAAGTGTTTTTTAGAACTTGTTGTCAAATCAAATTGTGACATAATTATAAAGAAATATTTCTAAATAACTTTTATTCAAAAGGTTTTATGATAAAACTTTTAATATTTTTTCAAAACATTCATTGAGTAGCATAATTGTTTAATACTTTAGAATAATAATTTGTTTTGAATAAAATTTTGTTTAAGGGATGTTTTGCGTGATAGTAAAGGATGTTTTGCGTGTAAGCAATTTACTTTTATTACAGAAAACTATAAGGGGGGGGGGGAGATTTCAGCCCAGTTCTAATAAACGGGGGAATGGGGTCTAAATAAATGAGTGGGAATTTTTTACAGAACACGATAAAACAATTTAGTTCTAATGTGGCTTCGCATTTTTTTAACAGCTGTTTCATCATAGTTTCAACGAGATTTAATATGCTTATATAAGCTTTATAATAAGTTGAGAAAAAAACAAAAAACTGAATATTCTGATTTTTTTCGTTTTGTTTTGAGATGTTGGTTTTTTTGTTGATAACAAGTAAAATTTAATAAACAAAAGGGTGGGGGAGGGGATATAATAGACTTTAGGTGGGTAAGTATAATTCTCAAAAATTAATAAACGTCCCCTCCCGTGTGTTAAGCACCTAAGAGTAAAACACTTTGTCTTATTTATAAAGTCTATATAAGTGATTTATAGTGATATAAGTAAATTATGGCCACATACTTAATAACACCTCTAATATAAAAACCAGCTGATTTTAGATAAATTAGACGCGCCATGGGCTGTTGTAAAGAGTATGCATAATAATAAGTTATAGCAAAATAGTTAGGCGTATCTTTTTCAAAGTTTTTGAGTGCATATTCATTTCTTTATATTTTTCTGATTATAACAGTTTTAAATGTAAATTTGTTTTAGCAAAACAAAAACCTATCATTAATTATTTATTAAGATTAACTGAAAATGTATTAACTTTAGTAATTTTATATTGAATAAGTTCATTTGAAGTTTTAAATACGATCCTTTTTTGTACCACAGTTAAAAAAAAGTTTTTGAATAAAATTGTCTGCAAATGTCACCTTTGCAGATTTTCATTTGCAAAAGAAAAAAACATTAGAGAAAATGTAGCCTGTAGATCAGCTAGACATCTTCACTAGGTCATATTTATTTAATTCGTTTTTTAAGCAAAAATAATGATAATAAATTAGTCATGCAGTCAAATACATAATTCAAGATTGTTATTATTATATTTTTTTCTTTAAATTTATTTTTCTTTAAAGGTTTTAAAAAAACTGATCTATAACCCAAAAAATGTGAAGTTTACAAATATAACTAAACTATCGAAATTAGCTGTTGATAAAAACGGGTATTCACTTGAAATCTAGACAAACTTTATATGGTCATAACGCCATTAATATTATGAGAGAATGAGGTATTGATGAACAGCGAGAATGCGAGTTAAATACACCAGTTATTCAAAATTGATCATACTTATCATTTTTTCTTTTGAGGATTTGTAACTATTCAGTCAAAAACACTAAAGAGCAATTTTTATAAATCTTATTATAAGAAAAAAATTTAAGGCAAAAATAAAACGGTGTTCGGAATTAACCTCCGTACGTGGGGGTAATTTGGAACAAACCGGTCGTCAATCGCCAAAACTGTTTTGTAATAACGAATAAAATGCAAATTGTAATAACTAATTCAAAAATAATAGTGTTCTTCATTCCTAAACATTCGGAGTTTTTCTTTTTTTGGCAAATTAGGAACGGAGATAAAATTTGAACAAATTACCTGATAAAATTTAATGTGAAAAGCTACGGCATCTAAAGTGTCTAAAGCGACTAAGTATAAAAATTCAAATCCATGTGTTGACAGTTTAGCCGTTCAAAATTACACCATTAAGATTCATCTTTCAATTCATCATTCAATTTCCCCAAATAAAATTCAACAAATGAAACAAAATTAATCTATTGAGGTTATATTAACATACCAAAAATATATTAAAAAAACTCCTTTATTACGATAAAACATGAGATCAGATAAGAAATCTTTTCAAAAACCAAAACAACTGTTTTTTACAAATTTCTTTAATTTTTATTTAAAGGTACGAAACTAATGAGTATAAAAAAAACTTTCAGTTTCAAAATTTTTCTTTATTTCTAAAAAATAATTACACATTCCTGGTGGTGGTGACCATTAATTTATACACAAACGTTATTGTCATTTTCTTTGCTTATGGTTGACCATGTCTTCAGCAATTCTTGTACTGAATTAATCATCTTGCCTATTTTACACAAATATACTTTTTCAATATTTTAATATTGAATTGAGTTTTTTGGTACAGAATTAACCTCTCTTAATTTGTAACAGTTCAAAGATATTTTAGCGTAGTGGCACAAAGCTAAGTCAGTCCAAAAAAAACAAGGTCTAGCATGCAATCGAATGAGTGGCAAAAGTTGTTTTTGAAGGTACTCTTGACTTTAAAGCCTGGATTTCTTTCATAAAAACAACAAATCTTATTTACCACTGATTTATTATTAAAAAATTTTATCTGCCTGATCCTTTATCTTGAATGATGGATAAGGTTTTCTTACATCGTTATATAACCCTACCAGCAGTAGATATAGGAATTCTAGTAGCTTTTTAGACTTGCTTGTAATTCCATGATGAATTTTCATCACGAATGAGAATGATTTTTTTTCCGATTTTTAAATTGCTTTAATGACGTTTTAATAAACTATAATGAATTTTTTTTAGTTTTTTGACATTTACTATCAATATTTGATTAAAATATTATTATTATTTATTTTTTAATGTGTTAATAACTTATTTTAAAAGTTGTTTCTATTTCTCTCTTTTTTTTTTGATCTCATGCTTTACTATGCAACAACAACAACTAAAGGTAGTGGTTTTATATCCATAGTACAAGCTACAACAGAAATGTTTTTCAAGAAAAAAAGTTGTATGCCATTATTAGAAAAGTTACGATCAATTAATCGTGAACAACCACTGGAACAGCTACACTGGAAAAATAAATGTGTAGTTTTGATACACAAAAATTTGTGTAGTTTTATTTTCACACAAAGATGTGTAGAATTAACACAAAATTGTGTAGCCGCCATTTTAATAAGACACGTGCGTGTTAGCGGTTTCGTTTTGGAGGAAAATCGATTTCGAAGTTCGAACAAAGAGAAGAAAAGAAATATTTTTGATTTTTTCGGTAAGAAGCATTTTTTGTTACAATATGTTTAAAAATAATACCTTGGTGTTATAATATAAAAGAGTAGTTAAATCTTTTATTTTTATTTGCTGTTCTTTATTCACATTTCTATACTTTCACTCAATATACATGCTGCATTAATTGGTGCACAAATATAATAGATACAATTGTGTAAATGTAACTAAGGCAAATGTAAATGATTATTCAAATATTTGCGTAATACATTGTATTTGATGCTAATTAAATATATAAACTTATTGATTTCTAGTAATGTTTTTGCTTGAGCGATAATTAGTGTTAGTACATAAACTGTAAAATAGCTCTTGGTCAAATACCAATTTATATTTAATTACATTTTTAATCAGAAATTAGAATTTGTGTTGCTAATGAATACTGTCATAAGTAGCAAGTCTTTCTAATATTTTTGTTTACTTTCACTGTGCATCGTATTACTTCAAAACCATTAGATAAGCCATGTTTTAATTTGTATTTTTGTCAAATTAGTTTAATAGTTGCATATTGTTAAGAAGAAGTTTAACTCTATTATCACTCTATACACTGCAATTATAATTGTAATCACTAATTAGTGTAATAAGGAGAATAAATTTATTTTTATTGTGATTTAATGCATAAATACTAGCATGACGTACTTTAATGACATATTTTAAATTTTGTCCGTAGTTATTGTAACTTTTTCATTCAATTACAAGCAAGTAGCTTTTAAGTTTATCAGTTTAATGTTTTTGTTGTTACTGAACACATTACATCTTGTTATTAAGCTATGGTTTTTAAGTTTCTTTTATTTTAGTGGTGTATAACAATAATAATAATTATTATTAACCTATATTTTAAATAACTTATTATATTTTGTATGAAATTATGGTTTTAATTGATTTTACGGTATCATTCTAATATAACTCGTTGTTGATGCATCTTATAATATGATTTAATTAATATAATCTTGTGTTTCTAGTTGTAAATAGTTATTTGCTTGTAGATGTCTAATAAGTTGTTGAAAGTTTGGACTCTAGACGGTTCGGTAAAAGCAGCTGTGGTATGCAGTAATTTGGCTGAATTAAAAACCAAAGGTAATAATCATTGAGTATTGTTATTCATAACTTTTCTTATAAGCGGTCATCTCAAATAGAAGGTGCAAACAATTAGGTTTCTTCTACACGAAACAATGGGCTATTACTGCTGTTTATGTAGAAAAAGTATTGATGCTTTTACAATTAAGAACTTCTCAACACATTTTCACTTGAGACATATGATAAAGTAGCATTTCATTGTGGACAAGATGGCTGTATGAGATATTTTGATAGCTTAAGCTCATTATCGACTCATTTACGTAAAAAGCATAAGCTTACTTCGACAGATGCAAGCTCTATGGAACAAAAAACAGTTGAAAATGAACCAGAAAATGTGTGATGAAATTGAAATTAGTGAGCAAGTAGAAGAGCCTGAAAATGATAAAGTTACCAACTTTAAGGAACAGCTAAGACAGCTACTGTTTATAGTTTATGTTAAGTATGGGTGCTTAGATATTATACAGGAGGGATTTACTGATTTATTAGAGGGGCTGATGTTTTCTGATAAATTAAAGAATGTTGCAAATAATTTAGATGCAGTTCATATATCCACAACCAAAACTCAACTTGAACCAGTAATTCAAGAAATCGACAATGTTAAGCCAACTTTGAAAGAAGTAGGATACTTTGAACAGCAATTGAAACACTTTAAAAATCATATGAAATTTGTTGAGCCGGTTGGACGTCCAATATCTGTTCGTTATGAATCCCGTTTGGATAAGGAAACTGGCAAAATATGTCAATATCCTATTCCTAATACATACCAGTATATACCAATTCATCAGACAATTAGATTTGTTTATAGCTATATGTATGACATCTTAAAAAAACAACAAAGGAACACAAATAATTTAATAAGTGACTTTAGCGATGCTTCTCGTTTCAAAGAATGTCAACTGTTTATAGAAAATTGGGATGCCTTACAGTTACATTTATATTTCGACGATTTTGAAACCGTTAATCCGTTAGGCTCGAAAACAAAAATTCACAGACTAGGTGCAGTCTATATGGTGATACGGAACTTGCCATCCTATTTAAACTCCCGCCTCGTGCATATTTATCTGGTATGTTTTTTTTATACAGAAGATACAAAAACTACGCGTGGATATGAATAGTTCTTGAAGAAATGATTAAGGATATTAAATCATTAGAAATAAAGGGTATTGAAATTGTGCTCGGTAAAGCATGTCAGACAGTTAAGGGCACTGTTGTTTTGTTTTCGGCTGACAATTTAGGTGCTTATGGAATGTTAGGTTTCTAAGAGAGTTTTACTTTTGGTTGTATATGTCGATTGTGTTACGATTCTGTTGAAAGCATTCAAGATCACCACTGAGCCAGAGATTTTGAACCAAGAACTGCTGAACAGCATGAAAAAGACGTGCAAGACTGCATCACAAGAAAAACTGGTGTAAAGCGACAATCACCCTTTAATGATTTGCATTATTTTAAAGTTACTGAGATAAGCCGTCTTGTATAACTTTAGAAAAATTGAAGTCAAGTGATAATCTTCTGGATCAGCGTGCTGCTCAATATATGTGTTTAAGTAGACTTATTGGTTTAATACTTGGAGATCTTATAGACTGTGAAAATACTTATTGGCGGTTGGATTATAGACTTTGTTTTGTGTCCTAAGATATCGCATGGCATGATTTCATATTTAGATCAACTTATATTTGATCACCACACAATGTACAGGGAGTTATTTCCAACAAAACGATTGACACCTAAATTTCATAATTTAGTTCATTATCTTGTTTGTCTTCAAAAGTCTGGTCCAGCATGTCGATATTGGTGTATGCGGTTTGAGGCCAAACGTAACCAGTTGAAAAAATCAGCTACAAGTTTCAAAAATGTGTGTAAAACTGTAGCTCTTAAACAACAAATTCATCAGTGTTTGACTTAGCATTTTGAAAAAAAATTCGGTGTAAATAGTGGTGCTGGAGAACTAATTTTTGTGCGAGTATTAAAGGCAGCATCTGCTGTATGTGACAAATTGTGCATTCGCATGTTGGATGAAGTTTATGTTTGTAGACATACAATGATTAATAGTACGGATTATTTCGGTGGCGATGTTTTAGTTGTTGGTAGACAGATGGATGAGTGTCTCAAATTTGTACTTATTGATAAGTTTATTTTAACTGATGGTGGCATTTATTTTGTTTGCCAAGATCTGCACACTCATTATTATGATAGTCATTATCATACTTTTGCAGTTGAAGATGATGACTGTGGAAAAAGTGTAGTACTAGAGTATGATGAACTGTTAGACTATTATCCATTAGCTTTGCATACTGTTTCTGGCACGAGATTGAAGTATTCATTCGTTGCTCTTCGTCATGCAGTTGTAACTAGCATCTCTAAATAAGCATTTCATCTTCAAATTTTATTATGCATTGTTATCGGCTTTATATGTTGTATTCATTTTTGTTTTTGTTAATTCACTAAGATCAGTTCATATCGTACGAGTTGTATAACCTGCTGTGTAAAATCAAACGACAATTATGAATCCGATTTCTGTAATTTCAATTTTGTTCATTTCACTTTTTATTATTAGGCTATGTTAAATTTCTTTATGTAGCTGCCCAAAAGCTTGATTGTTTTGATATCGTTCAAAATGGATGATGGTACAGATATCGATGATGATGAAATTGTGCAATATTTAAATCCCGGTGCAATAGTCTATGCTTTAAATGCTGATGAAGCTATCAGAAGCTTGGCAACTACATTATCTATAATACCCGGCACACCAGACAACACATTCGAACTATTGCAGACTTCTACACCAGAAACCAGCATGACTAGCATAACTTCAGCTGCAGATGTGCATCACATGGAAAACATGGAAGAGGAACAGCCAAGCATGAGCAAGCAAGTTGTACGTAAACGACCAAGGGACGTGCCTGTTACTGTGATTTCAAGTAATAACGGTATATATTACAGTATTATATCATATAGTAAAAATCTATTTCAAATATGTTACTATAAAAATGTGTATATGTAACTGTAAGTGTATTTGTATATGTGTGCTTGTATGTATGGGCAGAAGTGTACATTCACATTCACATACATGCACACTTGAATACAACTTAGTAGGGGTGTGACGTTTAATTGAATAATTGTCCGATTAATCGGCCAAACCTTTAATCGAATAATTTTTTAGTTTTTGATTATTTTTTTCCCAAAATGCATAAATTTTATCAAAATCAAAAATATGAGTATTGCAGCGCATGCTGGAATAGGCAAGTATAAAGTACACACAATTTAAACCCCCTAACTCTTATTAACATAGACGTCATAGGCATTTATTTTTAATCGATTACTAATCAATTAATTAATAGACCGCGTTGCCGATTAATCGATAAAAAAATAAATTAATCGGCATCACGGATTAATACACATGTGCCAGAACACGTATGTTCTCATGCAAGAATCTTAAGGTGCCACTAAAATTCTACTTCAAATATTATAAATCAATTTGATGTGTAAAAGAAAAATAGTGTATACATAGTGCATTTGAGTAAACTATAATAAATGAATGTATTAATGATTATTTTTTTTAAATATCTATAGACGTTTCAATTATTGTGGCATTAAAAAAGCATCCAAAAGAAAAGTGGATAGTAGAAGAGGGTAACAAAGCCGTAATGGCACGTGAAGCTTGTTTGGCAATGGTCAAGGCAGCATGTAGTCATCTCATTGACTTATTTGGAGAGTATGTATATAATTTTATACAATGTTAGCTTGTTTAAAATCAAATTGAGAAATAGATAAACTCGACAATAATAGCAAAAATAACAATACGGTAACAATTATGCTAATATTAAGTATTAACAATAATAATCAAGCTTATTTAATGTTAAGCTTATAGTAATAATTTTAATAACAATAACAATAATGATAAAAATTATAAGAAAACTAATATTTAATAATTAAAGCATTGAATAAATTAAAACAATGTGCATTTTAATCATTGTTATGTTAAATACTATTGATGATGGGTTGGCAGATCAGTTAGAATTATAGTTTTGTGCGAAATGGTAGAATGATTTGTTTTCGATGTGTTACCTTTTACAATTATTTACATTGTTGTGCAAGAAAGCATTATTTAATTTATTTTTTGTTTAGTTATCCACTAACAGAAAAGAAAGTGCTGATGGCAAAAAGCATCATAGAAGCTTTTTCTAACCAAAAATCAAGTTTCGGCGAAGGATATGTAAGAATACATTTATTTGAATACTGATTATGTATTTATTTGAATACTGATGATTAGCTAATAGTATATGTATGTGCATGCATCTTATTGTTATCTTTTTAACCGAGTATATATGAATATGCCATATTTGCTCTATATAACAATTTAGTATGATAACCAATTTTGTCATCAGAATCTGAAAAGTAAGTCAAAATTGTTGTTTTTGTACATTCAATACAAATTTAAGCAGTAAACTGTTTTTTTTTTTTATCAAGGAACATTATTACTCATCAGATGGAACAGGTTTTATACAAAACTGGTTTAGGCAGATTCATCGCCAACTACCTTAGCAGCAATGAAAATATCGCCAAAGATACAAACTATGTATGTCATTGTTTTCTTATAATCAAGTGTACGATTGCGTTAGTGAACAAATTAGGCTTGAGTAAGTTATAGATACATGTGCAGCTGTTAATCTATTAAGTAAATCTATTCTAAATATGCAGCTGTTGATCTATTTTATCAGCCTATTTTATTGCATTTATTTTTATGTACAGCAGTCAATGACAGTGTGGTTCAAGCGGCTGACCAATTTATAGAGGTGTTTGGCGAGGATGCCGAATTAAAAACGGTCATGCTTCAGAATTCGGTACCATTATCGGCCAACATAGACAAAATCTATACGTTAATGGCTGAAACGTGCAGTTATCGGCAGAGTTGGATAAAAGAGGGCGGAGGTTCTGCTGGACCTTCAATAGCACAGATCCTTCAGAAATACCCTCGTTTTATAGTTGTGCCTGGCTTAGTAAGTTTCTGTTTTCAAGAACATTGAAAAGCAAAAAATAACTCATACATAGCTTAATTTTCGAGATATACATCCAATAAAATAATAAATAAAGTTAATTATATCCAAAACTCTTTTCTATGCAAAATCCTACATACAACTTTCATTATTGTTGCTTGATAAAAGCACTAAAAGAATGCTTAGTGTTGATATATATTAATTTTCATTTTACTATTTGTCTGCATACATATAAGCAAAACTAGTTTCATTAACTGTTGGTTTATTTAAAATAATCGATCATATGATTTTAAGGTACAACAAGATTTCAAAAGTTATAGCTGCCAGTCCAAGAGAAGATCCAGCAGCATACTTTGAAAGCAACCTCGATCTCAAAGCAACCTCGCTCTCAAAGTGCTTTGTTATTGTGTTGGCCAAGGCAAATCCCTTGACCTAACGCAGAACTTTGAAAATTTCACCGCATGTACAACATTTAATTATTCAGGATTGGACTTGTGTGTAAGCACTTTAAGTTATTGTAAAAGTATGTAAAAAAACCTATTTATTTGTTATTAGATGCAACAAGTCACAATGCGATGCTATGTTTTCTGGACATGCTACCTACCATGGGAAAGCATCGGACATCAGCTAAAAATGCCCGCCAATATTTCATCGACGAGATAAAAGTAAGTCGATGTTAATGATCATTGTATATTATCGCTTGCATGTAATAATAATAATAATAATAATAATAATAATAATAATAATAATAGCAATAATAATAATAATAATAATAATAATAATAATAATATTTTAAATGCATTTTATATGATAAACTAAAACAATGGTTTTAGCTTATTTGCTATCAATTTTATAACAACCACTAATTGGTTTTTCATAAAGTAGGATTCAAAACATTATTTATTAATCTTTTTTTTTACCAGATTGGTGATAGTTTGGAAGCATACTTGGAATCTTGCCAGCAAGAGAACAAAAAGCTCAAAAGGTTTCAGCCGTACATTTTAAAAATGGGTGCTACTGAGGAAGCATCCTATTACATTATCTGTGATGGTCGTGCCTTGTTAGTGAAGCCATTGAAAGCTGCCAATGCTCTTTCAGATTTATTTTCAACGTTTTTTGTTTTTAATGTCAGATATCCATCTCAGCTTATGTTATTTTATAATTTTCTTGAGGTATATATGTTTGAAATGAAAAGCAAACTCTCTGCCAAAGCAACTACGTTACTTAAAGATTTGTCTGTATCATAAAAATTGCTTAGTTTTTTTATAACAAGGTTAAAGTACGATGTCATAATCACTTTAATTTTATGAACTTCAAAAAATTATTGCAATTAGGTGGTATGAGTCATAACAGGAGTATTTTAATGCACTCCTGGTCATTAATAGGCTAATATGGAAAAGATGTTACATAGCTCTTATTGTTAACTTAGTAAAAGGTGTAATGATAAATGGTGTAATGCAGTTAGAGAACTCTAGTCAGTGACACCAGGTGCTAACTGTCATTTTTTGAATTACTGAGTAATTCATTTTTTGTATTTCTTTTACACTGTTGTGTTTGAATTCATAGCATGCAATATTATATAGTTCCTTTCAATGTGCTTATATTTTATACTCAGTGAAAGATGTAATGATAAAGATGTAATGCAGTTAGACAATGTCTAGTCAAAATGACAATTGGTGCTAACTGTCATTTTTTAAAATTACTGAGTAATTCATTTTTGTGTTTCTTGTACACTGTTGCATTTGAATTCATATCGTGCTTTCAATGTGCCTAATAATTTGTTTATTGACATGTTTATGCATATTAAGATGATGCAGTGTTTAGCAATAATGTGTTGTGTGCTTAAAGACTTGAATATTTTGCAAACATGTATAGGCATTACACACACACGCACTTGAATGTGTATACGATTGAATACTTTTACATAATTTCATATGCTCATAAACACATTTTCAATTTTTATTACCTCTTCGGTGCTAAATGTGAAATTGTACAATTTTGGTTAGTTTGTGTTGATGTATAGCCTATTTGATGAAGAATTATTTCAATCACACATAGGCTATTATGTTATGTGAATGTTTTAGAATAAAGAGTTGTATATTTGCATTTTTGCAGATATTGTTTTGACTATAGCACTCAAGAGCGAAAAATTCTGTTTTGTATTGCAAAATGACGTTTGCTTTGTATTCAATTATACATGTAGACCAGTTAATTGCGCATTTACTTCAAATACATTTATTATGTAGTTATAATACAGAGTAGAAGAAAAACACCAAAAATGTGTAATAATTAACACAAAAATGTGTAATAAATAACACAAAAAATGTGCTACTATGCACACAAATGTGTGAAAACTACACATTTTTTGAACTAAATTACACACTGTAATGTGTAGTTTGTATACACAAAAATGTGTGCAAGCTACACAATCAATGTGTATACTTTTCACACAATTTTGTGTAGAAATATATAACTACACATTTATTGTGTAATTCATAATACAAATTTGTGTTGTCGCCATTTTAACACAATTAATGTGTACAAAACTACACAATTTGTGTAGCATTTCTACACAATTTTTTTTCCAGAGTACATTACATTACTGTATGTCTGGTAATGAGCATGGGAGCCTCCAACAGCAGGTAAAAAGATTTTATCAAATATCTTATGTTATGTTGCTTTCACCATAATTGGAGTTACCCCGTGTTGGCCATTACCCTACTCACTCCTATATATTTTTTTAAACTACAAAATATTTAAAAAAGATCATTTAAGACTTAATAAGAAAAATATTCATTGATTTTCAATTATGTTAATTCTTCTTATAGAATTTAGTCTATATTTTTATCGATTCAGAAAGACGCTGTACAAGGCTTGAGTTACCTTTTATAAAACTAAACTCTATCATTTTTTATCAATTCTATCCATTTTTTGTAAAATAATCCTTTAATAACTGACCAAAAATTGTTGATTGAACTTGATTATGGAACATCGGCAGGATTATCTTTTCATGAACAGATTTAGCATAATGAGTAGAAGCAACACCATCCTAACCTACGCATGGATTGTAGCAATGATGTTCTTTTATAAAAAGCATCAATCTATTAATTATAAAATTTTCTAAGTAAATATTTAACTAATGATTTTTAAAATACAATTTTTTAAGTAAATGATCGATTGCTAGACTATTTCTTTGAATTAAGAAATTTGAAAAACCTTTACAAAAAAATTGCTAAATATATATGTTAAATAAGTTTACTTGGAAAATATAGAAGATTATTGCTAGTCAATAAATGTCAACACAATGTTTTTAAATATAAAAAATCGTCGCGAATACGAATTTTTTGTTGGTGCGGATAATCTTACAAAAAGATGTATGTTAGGGTTAGCATCCTTTATGGTAGTCCAAAAATAGGTTTGCGATTTCAAATAAAACACAGACCCAGAAAGCTTTTGCTAGCTATTGCAAAGGCAAGGTTTTTATATAAAATGTCAAAACCTACTTTCGGATCATTAATACTTATAATTTTAAGTTAATAAACTAATCAAGTTAAAAACTAGTGTTCGACGTTGTGTTCGACGTTACTCAAATTACAAATTTATTTTCAACAAGTTTGTGAACTATTATTGATGATAAAATAAACCATCTCCTCTATCGATTTTGAACAATTTTGAACAAACACGGTTTGTGGCACAAGCGACAAACCGTTCAGCAAAGGTCACAAGCGAACCTGATTTTACGGCATATGCTGACTAAATTATTTTTTATTTTAACGTAATATATTTTTATTAAAAAGACGTATGCCGTCAACACTCGTAGCCCATGACTAGACTGCTTTTTGCCTTAATTCCCAGTCTTTTTATGCCCAGCTATTTTCAAATAAGGCAAGCACCTTTATTATTTTCTCAGTAAGTTGGTAATTATGGCGCATATGTTTTGAAAAATACTGTTCCAAATGCTATTGATACTTCTCACATTCATAACAAAAAAAGTTGCGAAAAAAATTGTTTACAAAACCAAATAGTATAAATATCTCACCAGTTTAATTTCATCGTTAAACTTTTATGCCCTGATATAAATGTTTTTATACAATATTTTAAATTAAGTATGTACGCGGAAATAACAATTTACGGTGCCGAATTTTGTGCTAAAATTCTGTGACTCTTATTTGACGTTTTTTTTAGGTAGCCTAAGGCAAACGTATTTTTGAGGAGTTTCTTTTCAAAAACATATATAAACATAGTATATATTTAGAAAGAAGAAGAGCTAAGCTTGTTTTTTATGTTATTTTTACGTACGGTTGTTTTACCATTTTTTGGAGCATTTGGCTCATGAAAAATAGGTTGGTGTTTACTTGTCAAATCCTTGTCGAAGGACTCTTTATTCCGCTTTTTTGATTCTTTAAATAAGTTTTTACATGCATTTTCTTTGCACATACCAAATTTTATTGAAAAATATTATGTAGCAGATAGTTAAATCAGTTTAGCACTTTTGGTACCTAATTTCCGTTTTTCCGATTTTTTTTTAGCGGATTTCCCGTCTCATTTTTTGAATAGGGTTAGGCAAACAATTTTTTGTTGGTTTTTTTTTCAGAAACATATATACACATAGTGTATTTTCAGAAAGAAGAAGAGTTAGGCTTGTTTTTTGTGTTATTTTTTTATATGATTGTCATACCTTTTTTCTGACTATTTTCCTCATGAAAATTATGTTGATGTTTATTTGTTAAATTATTATTGAAGGAATTTATATTCCGCTTTTTTGATTTTTTAAATAAGTTTCTACATGCATTTTCTTTGCACCTGTCAAATTTCATGAAAAAATATCATGTAGCAATTAGTTAATTCAGTTAAACACTTTTGGTACCTAATTTCTGTTTTCAAAAATAGCCGAGGTGGGGCTGAGGGGGAAAGAGTTTTTTTTTTCCATAAAAATGTTTATTGCATATTGTTTCACTTAGGTTGTTAGTAATTAAAAAAAATGAACGATATAAATGAACTGGGTAATTAAACAAATAGTAAGTTTATATGTTTTTTCATAATAATACTATTGTTTATTACTTTTAAAAGTGTATTTTTTTGTTAAACTTTTAAAAATCATTGACTAGATAAAACCTATTCAATACTTTTTTTTAAGTAATCCCTAATTTTCGTTATTTACGCCTTTATTTTATTTGTTATTTACACAGTACTTGTCTTTGCTCATTACAAATTGTTTTATTGTCAATTGTTTTATTGGATTTGTTGCCAAAAATGTGTATTTTTTTTATATTACACCTTTTTTAACTTTAGCTTCATCGTCATCTGATGCAGTTGGTAAGTTAAATAAGTATTTTTTTATTAGGTGTTTCTACTTATTCTTTAAAGCTATACTATAAGTTTAATACCTTTTTTTATTTTATTTGATGACAACTTACTTTTCTTTTAGTTTTATCAACATCTGCCTGTGGTAAATTTTTTCAGATCTGTATAGAGTTAACGTCAAAATCAAAGTTATTTTGGTTAATTTTTTTACCTTTAGCTTTGTCACCATCTGCTATGGTTGGTAAGTTTGAAAACTTTTTTTTTAAACAACTATGTAAAGATTTTTTGGCAAAAACTATTTATGTTTTGTTCTTTACATTTTTTTTTACCTTTAGCATTTACATTTACATTGAGAACATTTGGTATGTTAATCTTTTATGATTTATCTATTGTATAATACTTAGTCTTTTGATTATTGTTTAAATCATTACACAAACATTTCTAATGTTTCCTTCTTGTTTAGATGCAGACTTACTATTTCATCAGTTTTTGAGATCCCGTAAATGATATATGATAGTGATGTATCGTGATATGATAGTGGTGTATAGTGTATAGATATGATAGTGATGTATAGGTGTATAGATATGATAGTGATGTATAGGTGTATAGATATGATAGTGATGTATAGATGTATAGATATGATAGTGATGTATAGATACGATAGTGATATACAGTATGATAATACAATATGATAGTGATGTATAGATGTATAGATATGATAGTGATGTAAAGATGTATAGATATGATAGATAATAGTGACATATAGGGATGACATGAACAATATAATCTTTAATGTTATTCATAATAAAATAAACATTTTGATGGCTTAAAAGTTTTTTTTTAATAAAAAAGATATCTTTTTTATAATCTTTCTTTTATTGTTTAAACCATTATACAACCTTTCTTAATGTTTACTTGTGTAATTATGCTTTCATTATACACTTTATTAATAAAGTTGTTTGATTGTTGTTACTTATTCACTTACTGTTGTCAAATTTAAGGTTTTTTTTTTATTTTGATATACAGTTTTCTTGTTAATTTTAGTTCAATCAACTCAGCCTTTCACTGGTAAGTTTGTATACTTTTTCGTTTATAGTTTGTATTGCTTTTTCGGTCATGTTTATATAAGTAGAAATTTAAAGATGTATGCTTTGGTTTAATTCATATGTTTTTTATCTCAAGTCATTTTTTAAACAACTGTGATTAGTATATTTAAAAGCTATTATTTTTAACTTGTGAAAGATTTATTTCCAATATCTTTTTTTTTGTGGATAACATCCATTTTGTTTTTAGTTCCATCTACATCTGAAACAGTTGGTAAGTTTAAGAGTCAATTCTTTTTCAGCAGTGTATTAATTTAATCCCATTTTCAACTTTTTTTGTTTATTTTTATATTGCATCTTTTTGTGATATTAGTTGCATCTACATCCTTCTTTTTTTCTATTAATTACACCTTTTTTACATTAAGCTTTATCGACACCTGCTGCGGATGTCGATAAAATTTCTTTTGTTATGGCTATAGTATAGATTTAATATCAAAATCATTTTTCTTATTGATTACAGCTTTTTTTTACTTTTAGTTTCATCAACATCTACCACATTTGGAAAGTTTAAAAGCTATTTCTTTGTTCAGTTTGTATGTAATATGTGTATGTAAGGCCAATTTCTAACTTTTGATTTTGTTACACCTTTTTTTAATCTATATCTGCCACAGTTACTAAGTTTAAAAGCTATTACTTTTTAATCTCTGTAATAATTTAATGCCTAAATCAAATATTTTTGTTTTGATTGATTACATCCTTTTCACAAACAGTAAGTTTAAAAACTAATTATTTTTCCGCAGTGTTTTGATTTTTTCTAAAAAAGTCATTTATTTTGTTAATTACATTTTTTTTTTGATTTTAGCTGCATCTTCATCTGCTTTGGTTGGTATGTTAAAAAACTATTTCTTTGTTAGCAGTGCATAGTCTATCTCATTAAAATTATACTATAGATTTAATCCCAACTTCATTTTATTTTTGTTGTTTACATCATTTTTTAACTTTTAGTTCCTGCAGCACAAACTTCTCCAGGTTAATGTATAAATTGAAATATTTCTTTATGATTGTTCTTCGTTTTTGAAAAACTTTAATGCTTATTTATATTTTATAAAAGTACTTTATTTTAAATAAGCAAATTCTAAATAAAAGTTTTTAATTTTTTTTTTTGTAAGGTTTATATAGATGTTTCATTATGCTTTCAAATCTTAACTATCAGTGAAAAGATGAATTTATACAAACACTTATCTGCAAAACAACTTTAAGATTTAGATGATGTGATGTTTGAAAGAATTGTTGGCAGAAAATTCTGTCATGAATGGTATGATACTGACTCATCAAAGTCTATCATTTATGATGGTAGACTAGAAAAAGAAAGCAAAAGACAAAATGATAGAATTTACATTATTTCTTACTGGAAACAAGATAAAACTGATATGGAAGCTGTTGAGCATAAGATGAAAAAAATCCAGCTAGCTGCTGATGTTGTATTAGATGAGTTAATATTTTCTTAGTTGAAATATGAAATAATGTAAAAATGCTTGAAAAAAAAGTTCTGCAAGTTTTGTGGCTTGCAAACAAGTACTTCAAGGTTTGTGGATTGCAAATAGGTACAGCAAGTTTTGTGGTTTGCAAACAAGTACAACAAATTTTGTGGCTTGTCATTAGGTAAAGCAAGTGTTGTGGCTTGCAATTAGGTACAGCAAGTTTTGTGGCTTACAAACAAGTACCGCAAGTTTTGTGTCTTACAAATAGGTACAGCAAGTTTTGTGGCTTGCAAACAAGAACAACAAGTTTTATGGCTCGCTATTAGGTAAAACAAGTTTTGTGGCTTGCAATTAGGTACAGTAAGTTTTGTGGCTTGTAAATAGGTACAGCAAGTTTTATGGCTTGCAAATGGGTCCAGCAAGTTTTGTGGCTGGCAAATTTTTTTGATAGCCACAAAACTTGCTGTACCCAGACACCATGTAACGGTAAGCTCTGACTTACCGTTACATGGTGTCTATCATTAAAAATGATTTATTTAGTTAATAAATGGAATTCAAAACATAAATCATTTACTAAAAGCCACGACAATAGTTAATTACTTTTTTTATTACAAAAGACTTGCTGCTTTTTGTTTTTTTTTAGGTTTGAGTTCAACAACAAACTTGCTTTACCTAATGGCAAGCTACAAAACTTGTTGTACTTGTTTGCAAGCCACAAAATTTGCTGTACCAATTTGCAGTCTTGTAACATGGTAAAACAGTTTTTTAAACTATTTATATGTGTTTAAAAAAGCATTTTTAAACTTTTTTTGTTAAATTCTAATAAAATTTTTTTTTAGGTACGAGGTGGAAGGGGGGCGGCTTACACCCCTTTTATGAATGCAATTTATACACCACTGTAACGTGGTAAAATAGTTTTTTATACTATTTTATATGTGTTTAAAAAGCATTTTTAAACATATTTTGTTAAATTCTCATTAAAACTTTTTTTAAGGTATTGGGCGGAAGATGGGCGGCTTACACCCCTTTCCATGAAGGCAATTTATACACCACTAGTTACTGTTTTTCCAAGTATCAAAATATGTTTTTATTTTTTATACTAAAACTAATTATTTTTGTAAAGATTGAAATATTAAAAGAATGAAATTTTGATAGGGTGTGTTAAACCTTATTCAAAACCCAACACCCGACTTTGAGATAGACTTGTAATATTCGCTAGTGATGTGAAATAAAATAATAGCTATTTTTTGTATATAAATATTTGTAGTTTTAAAAGATAAACACTTTTTTATGAAAAAAAGTGTATTTTTGTGAGGTGTAGGTGGTGGATTAGCACCCCCTCCGGATCCCTGGATGCGACCTTGGCCTAAAATCTAATTGAAAATTATAGCCCTTTTTTACACCTATCTTTTGATACCAAGTTATAGATATTTGAATAAGAATTACCAAAGTTTATAACAATTTATGTGAAAAAAAAAATTTTTTTGACCACAGTTTTATCAAGAAATCAATATATCGAAAATTTGCTACTTAAAACGTCATAACTTTTGATAGAAGTGTCCAATTTTCATAATTTTTTCATCTTTGAGATACTGTATTTGAGGGCTTTCTAATGATATATAAATTTTAGTATTAGATTAATTTAAAAAAATCAGTCCACGTACCTAGATTAAGGTTTTGTAGCTTTAAGTTAAAGCTACAAAACCTTAATCCATTTTAAAATATTGCATAAAAACATTTATATCAAGGTATAAAAGTTTAACGATGAAATTAAACTGGTGAGATATTTATACTATTTGGTTTTGTAAAAAATTTTGTCATAAAAAAATAGTATAGATGAAAAATATACCTTAAACTATAAAAATATACCTCACCATAGTTAAAAAACATACCTTAAAGTTTAAGGTATATTTTTTAACTATGTTTTAACGAATTATATTTTATATAAAAATAACATGATTTTTATAACTGTAACTATGTTTACTTATATACCACTGTTTCTGTGTTTATTCTTATAAAATTCAATAAGTAGAATGTTTAAAAGGTGATTAAATGACCTAGCCTTAATGTCAATTTATACAGAATTGCTTCCAGATAAAGATAGGGTTAACAACATTTTTTCAGCTTCTGGAAAGAGATGTTTAAAGTTGATATCTAAGCCTTAAATAATTGGTTATGATTGAATAATAATTATTATCTCTTATTATAAGAGTCTTATATTTACAATCATTTTTTTTGTTAAAATGTTTTTATAATTTTTCTTAGAGCATCTTTTTTTTTATTTGTTTTAAATGTTAAATAAATAAATTTATTTTCTATTTTGTGTACATTTCATAATCTTTGACATCTAAAATGTTAAATGTTTTAAAAAGTATTCTAAAATAAATAATGTAAACCACTAAACTAAAAATTTAAACATGTGTGTAAGTTTTGTTAGTGTATGCTACAAAAAGAGTGCTCGATAATCATTAAAAACAAAGATGTAATAAATTAGCTTCCTGAGGATCCTATGAGACTGTTCAAATCTTTTTTTTTAGTATATATATATATAGTAGTATACAATTTTGAAGGAAATATATTTTGAATATATCATGATATTATTATATTGTTAATGCAGTTATTCTATTAGTAACAAAAATATAAAGGAAAGAATCCAAAAATGGAGGACTTTGTTTGTCAACAGTAACAATACTTTTAGATTGACGTCTATTAAGAATAGGAAAGAATTTAGAAATGGAGAGCTAACATTAAACAGCTTTACTACTTACATATGGAGTGCAAAGTCCTATGGCTTACCTTCTAGTTGGTGCACTTTGTTAAGTAAGTTAGACATTGTATGTCTAACTTGAGAACAGAATAGCCAAGGCAAATTTTATGTTTTACCATTAACTATTTCATTAGAATCCATTAAAAAAAAATAAAAAATATATGTGTACAAAAAATGAAAACTAAACTAGGTAAACAACGCAGAAGCTGTTCAACCCTTCAATAAAAGACGCTCAGATAAAAAAATTGTCTGGCAGCGTCTACATGACGTAATTATCGGACGTCTTTTTGACGTAGACTCACCGACTTTTTAAATAGTTACAATTATGACGTAATTTTTACAAATTTTAGCTACACCTATATAAAATCTTAGATCCACCCCTGCAGTATTAATATTAATATCAATATTAGAATGAAAAATTTAATAAAAGTCTTTAAAATAGCAGAAAGAAAACCAAGAGAATTAGATGTAGATGGGTAAATAAAGAATTTCAAAATATTAAAATTTTCAAATTAAAAACTGAAGGATCACAAATTGATAGATATAATAAAGAATTTCAATATTAGTTTGTAGAAATATTTAACTTTATTTTTTTAACAAACAATTAAAAAGCTTGATTTTGAATTCAGAGATTGAGTTAACAGATTTTAGATCAGGAGGTAGTTTGTTTCATCAGCTAATATATTGGATTTTATATATATTAATAATATATGGATTTATTTCCATATTAAGAGTGATGTTTCGGAATTACTAAGTTTAAGCTACTTATGGAGCAAAAAATATATCATTTAAAGTTTTCTAGAAACTTGTATGGCCTGTCATGCATAGCCTTCTCAAAAAGTTAGCTTAGGTTGGATAAGTCTAGTAAGGATAGTTAGAAAAGTCTAGTAAGGAGCCTTTTGTATAAATTAGAATTAGATAGCTACTTTAAAAACTTCAGGGAATTTACAACTTTTAAAAGAATTATTTATCATAATGTTAAGAGGTTTGGAGATTAAGTGAGAGGTAAGTTTAAGAAAAAATGTAAATATGCTGTTTGGTCCATAACTTTTATTACTTTTAAGAGCATTATTAATAAGATTAGATACTTTAACTTCACTTACAGGATCAATAAAGAAAGAATTAGCATTAGGCAAGTTAAGAAAGTTACTGTAAGTACATTTTGATGGCACGATTTCATTGAGTAGTTTTTCACAAATAGGTACGTAATAATTATTTAATATATTTGAAACAGTGGCATGGTCTGTAATGTTAATTTTCGTAGTAGGTGTTTTATGTAATGATGTTTTAATATTTATGATATCATTTTTGCCTTTTCGTGTATTTTTTTATGTTGTTTATGTTGTTATTAAAATAAGTTATGTAGTATGATTTTTTACTTATTAATAAGTTATTATCATTTTATTTAGTTAATATTAATAAGTTATGATTTTTTACTTATCAATAAGTCATTATTAATAAGTTTAATTTCTATATATTTCTATTTTATTAGTATTAATGTACTTACATTTTACAAATTTTTTTACAGAAATTTAAGTTAACCAATAGAGATCCAGGGTTTAAATTTAAGTTTGATTTGATTTTTAGTCAAAGTTTTATAGGGGGCACGTTGGACTAAAACCCTGTTTTAAAAATTAATTGATGGGTTCATTAATAGTTTCATCTTTTTTAATCATTAGCTCCCAGTTGATTTTAGAAGTTTCGAGAATAAGTTTATTAAGGTCAAATTTTTTTAAACATTGTCTAGAAATTTTACCTATATTTGGTTATCTGGATGTGTCAGTAACATAGACAAATTGTGCCGTGTTATCCGAGATGATCAGAAGAGTAGAAGTTAATAAAGATGTTATCAATGATTGTTTTAGATTCAGCTGTTATACGAGTAGGTATGATTATGGAAGGAATAAACGAGTAAAAGCATAAGGTATCAAGATTTTTGGAAATTTGATTAAATTAACTATAGCTCAGTAAATTTGAATTTAAATGACCCATTAAAAAGATCAATTTTTGTTCTTTGCTTAACTTTTCAAGAAGTGGAGTTGAAAATTTTGTATTGAATTCATTTTGATTCATTGATGGATGACGATATATGCAACCAATTAGAACGTTTGTTTTATGGGGCTTAATAGTTTCAACAAAATCAGTCTCAAGTAATTTTGGTAACCTTAAAGTCATGACGAACTACATAATTTAAATTAGACTACAGATATAATAGACCTTTTTTGGCCTCAGTGGGACGAAGCTTAAGGAGGCATCCATAAATTCCGTACGGAGTAAAACCACTGATTTATGACTCCCCCTCCCCCTTGTACGAACGTGTACGCTTTTGCAGGCCCCCTCCTCTGCGTACGTACGCATAATTTTTTATAAATAAACTCGATTTTTTTTCTATCCTCATTGATTATAAAGATTATTTAAAAAAATTGTGACTGAAGTCAGAGAAAAAAAGTCAACTCTGATTTGTTACACACGTGAAATTCAATGTTTGAAAAAAATAAAATCAAGTTTATGAGATATAGTCAACCGCGTACGTGATGTAATTTTAAGGTGAAGATATCGATCTGAATTAGGTTTGATAACTTTATTAAGTCAATAACATCATAAAATTTACAATTTATAGCAGAACTAGAGACCGTATCAAGTTCATTAAGCATATTTCTTGAATAAAATTGGATGATACAGTTAGTGGATTCTTGCATGATAATGTTGTTAAGAGCTCATTATTAGTAAGCAAACCAAATGGCATGTTTTTATATATACAATTGAAAGAATACCATTCTGAAAAGTCTTCAGTGAGAAGATTATAAGTGAGCAAATCTAGTTGGTTGCACTTAGCATAAACCCATAAGCTGCAGCAATCACAAAATCGTCTTTGCGGTTATCTGTTAAGGTTTTAAAACAAAAGATGCAGAATGTTTTAATTTTTTAACATAATATGCAGAATGTTGTTACAATTTTTTATTATTGATAACTTTTATGTTATCTTTATGATATAAGTTGCATTATATATTTGTATAAAGACATTAGTTGCATTTATATATTTGTTTAACAAATAATATTTGTTTAACAAAAATTAAAAAAAAATAAAAATATGTATTTGAAGTACATATTTTAATTTTTTTGTTAGTAATTTTTAATACAATAAATAATACCAAAAATCAAATAAGCATTTTATTATTTGCAACTTTAGTTTCCTCTAGTCATTAATGTGTTTGTGAAATTTAGTATATACAAATACAGTCTTTTTAAAAATTTAAAAATAATTATGTATGTGTATTTCTGTACACTAAAGTTGCAAACCTTATTATACATTATAGGTTTAGATGATCCAAATGTAGGTTTTAAATTTATATTAAAACCTTACATGCACAATAGCTAGCAAAAACTTTCAAGGTCTGTGTTTTCATCAAAATTGCAAAGTTACTTTTGGGCCATTATAAAAAACGTTTAACCCTATTTTATTCAGGGTTGCCAACTGGCATATTTCAATGCCAAATTTAATAAAAATATCATAATTTTAACATGTTGGCATTTTTTAACAACTTGGCTTTTTTTTGGCATTTTTAGAAAAACTCCTAAATTAATTTTTTTTTTTAGTTAGCTTATATTTAATTTGTTCTAGAATATTAAAAACAATATCGAGCAAGAAGTAAGTTCAAGAAAGTACCTTGAGAAGTGAAAAGTTGATTATCCTTGGATAAAAAAAACTCTGATGGTACTGAATTGGTATTCTGTACCTTTTGTTGTGAGACTAAACCACAGAAATCGTCTGTAAAATAGGATAGAGGTATTTCTGGACATGCTTCAAGAGAAAAGCATATCAACTCAAAAAGTAAGATCACGCTTCCATTAATATAAAAAAAAGAAAACTGTAAAGCAGATACCATCTTGTTTTTTTTGAGTGCTGTCATGGATCTACTCTAACAATGGGTCACCTAGAAGAAATTGTTTCTCTTTATGGAAATAATAGTCCCTTTAAAAACTATTAAAAATGTAATTTCATCATCAATTGAATCAGAAATTTCTGAATCTATGGCAGATAAGCCTTTTTCCATCATCATTGATGAATCAACTGAAGTTTTATTGACAAAACATCTCTGGATTTGTGCTCGATACAAATCAGATCAACAGAAATTAGTTATCGATGATTTTCTTGGTTTAACTGTTGTAATATCAACCACTGGTGCAAATATTTTTTCTGTTTTAGAAAAAAAATTAAATTTTGTTGGTTTGTCATTAAAAAACTGCTTTGGATATAGCTTAGATGGAGCATCATTCAACATTTGTTTTGGTCTCGTGTTGGGCAGTCTTTCCTGATTGTATTCTATTGTTCAAGAATTTAAGCGTGTAAATGCTTTTTTTTAAAGCATTAATGTGGGTCCTAAAAAGCTATTTTCAAAGCTAAACCTGAACTAAAGTCTACAACAGCGTGTTCTTGACAACCAAGGAGTTTAGCTGCCTCTAAAACGTGTTGACATTTGGTAATGAATTTATTAGATTACCAAAAAAATATTGATACTTATCCTCAAACCCAAAATCAAATAATCAGAAAAAACATTGAAAGAATACTAACACGTTGTCTTCAATTTCTTTTGCGTCTTTTAAAAAGCTTAATCAATGTCTACATGAAAACAAAGAGTTATTTTAAGGTCTACCTTTCCTTTCACAATCGAAGGGCTGATTCAATGTTCTAAAGTGTAATTCACTTACCTGCCATTAACTCATCTGCCATTTACTCATCTGCCTGTAAGATATATCAAGAAGGATAAAACACAAAATATTGATCAGAACAAAAAAATAAGTTTGGTTGACTGGACTTCTTCAGAGCTGTTTGAAAATTCTTGTATTCCAAAAGAAACAATTGAGTTATGGACTGCAGTTTGCCACTAAATATATCAGGAGATGCAGCATCTAATGAACTAACAGACTATTGCCTATCTTGTCTTATTCTCTCTAAATCAAACGCTTTTGTGAAACGTGTTTTTCTCAGGTCACCTATGTTAAAAACAAACTAAGAAACAGGATGTCAGAAAATTGCAAAACCTATCCTTACCTAGTTGCAACAAATGTTATAATGACTTTAAAATCACTGACAAAATGTTAGCTGAATTTGGATCGAACATGAAATGTGATGATGATGAATCAGTTCAAGATGTACTCACTTTAATTGATAATTTAAACTGAAGGAACTTTATATTGAGACACACCCAATGTGAGATTTTTTAATATTCTTTTTACTTTATATTAAAAGCTGAGTACTTATCTATTTATGAAATGAATTCTTATCTATTTAAATTATTTATGTTAAACGTTTTTTTATGTTGAAAAGTAAACAAAATATTTGTTAAAACTGAGTAATATATGACTTATAAATTAATTGGATTCAGATAAAACGATGACGCTGAAAATTAAGATCAATTTTTTAGGCTTCCCGCCAATGAAGGTGAAAGAAATTGTTGGATAAATTTGTTTGTCCTATAACAACTTTTGCTATAAATGATGTTTTGAATATCCAATCAAATTACTTATAATAATAGAAATTTGATAAAAGTTTTATGTTAACTGTATACCTTTGTTTGCTGTTCATATTTCAAGCAATTTTAAATTTCAAGTTTTTTATGTTGGTATTCGTTGTTTTAATTCTTCATTATCTAAAAGTTATATTATATATCTTGATCGCTTGTCAAGAGTTGAAGAAACAATTTGTTTCAACAACATCATCAAAAGTTAATATTACAAGATCTTATTACATCTATGAATGCATCAGAAGTATGTAAAAAAATTTATAATATGGAAATTGTCATCAGATTGTATTGTTATTTTTCAACATCTCGAAACTTATAATATCAGCTACGAAGACTTGAGAAAGTGTAAAAACATTGACAAAAATTGCATTCATGACTAAGAAAGTTTCAGGTACTGACTTTGTCAGTACCATATTTTTAAATTTAGAGGCGAATCAGAGAAATTGTATATTCTCGGTGAAAAAAGTTTGCATAAAATCTTTTCTTTTTTGTTATGGTGGTTCTCTATCTGGAAACACGAAAAATAATCCAAAATTGTTAAAAATACTGTTTTAAGTATTATGGTTAAATATTTAAAAAGTGGATCATCTTTTTTATGCAAAATGATACCTGTCTGTCATTTGGATGCTTCTTTTTTGTTTGAGTAAGTATGCTATGTCATTTATTTGATCAAGTCTAGCGATGGAAATATTATTTAAGTTAATTGTGAATTGAACAAATCATTTTTTTTTTAAATATTTGAGAGAGTCGAAGAAATCACTATGGTTAACATATGGTGTAATTTTGTTAACCGTAATTTTTGAAACAAAAAAATATTAGGATTAGCTGGATTACAGAAAAATTTCAGGAACTTCAATTTGAAAAGGAACAAAATTTAATTGGTAAATAGAGTGACCTTAAATGTATATTTGATTAATTATCGCAACTAAATTTTGTAGCTTTACATATTGAAAGACAAGAATTTTTTTATTCAAAATATTTTTAAACAACTATATTTTTTTAGAGTATTTTGTGATGAAACTATAGCTGCTCCTAAAACTTATTCAAAAGTTATCCACCCTTGCAATATGAATGAAACTATTTGTGTTTTAGAAAAGGTTACTAAATTTCAGAAAATTGTAAACGTAAAAGAAGTTTAGGTTGATAAATGATTTTTAGATTTTCGTAAGAAAGTTATATCTGAAAAATTAGATAAAAGTTTGTAGTTCTTTCTTGATTTTGGAGGTATGTAAAATAAGTGGTATACAAGGTCGTAGAATGAAGTTCTTAACTAGAGATACAGATACTTTAGACTATTTTGTAAGTGAAGAATTTTGTGACATCATTAATCAATTACTTGAACTGGAATAATCTTTGTTAATGAGTACAAAAATTTATCTGTTTTATATTACAGGGTAAATTACAAGAATTGTAACATAACCTGCAACACAAAACAGTACAAGTATTGTTCATTTTATATGTTTTTTATATGTGAAGTTATATATGATGTAAGTGAAAATGATTTTTTTATTGATACTGCATTTTTCTTTCAGTCGTCTGGAGACTATACAAAAACTATGGACCACGGTGGATTAAATATCTCTCAATTGCTGTGTGCAATAGGAATTTTTTTGTTACATTATCTTTTAAATTGAGAAAAATAAAATATACAGAAACCCATTGTGTAATACTTTTATGATAATATTTATAACTTTAACATGTTAAAAAAACATAATACTATATTATCAACCTTATTTCTTAAAAATTACTGTTTGCTTTTTTTCACCTCAGTCAAATATGGAAACTGCATTGAAAGTTTTAAAGTTATCTGTATAACATATAAAAAATTGTTATATACATTTTTTATAACAATTTTTTGATGTGTAATTTAGTATTTTTTTCTTTTTTATCCTTTGCATTTTTTAAAGAATAATCGTTTTTTTTAGATTTGAAATAATTACAACTTATTTATTATTTTGAAAATAGTTTTCAAAATAATAAATGAAAATATTTTTTTCGAAATGTTTTATTTAAATTTGATGATAATTAATAAACACTGTAATAAATATTTTGTTCATTAACACAGTACTTTTAAAATTTCCAAAACTAATTGAAAATAATGCCTTAGCTCGCTTGACATTTTTTATATTTTCCGTAATATTGTCCGCCCCTAGTCAGAAATACGGATGCAACAGGAAGGCCTGTAGTAAGTATCTTCAGGTGTCATTCCATTTCAAACTATCTACATAACTAGTAAAAAAACAACAATTAGAAAAACAATAATTAGAACAAAATTTATACATTTCAAAACAGTCACAAAAGTTTTTTGTTAAAATGGCAAAAATCTAGGAGAGTAAACTCATTTTTGCAATTTTATATATAACCTTGAAAATTTGGATTATAAAAAGCTGCATTTTTAAGTTTTGTGAAACTTTAAATTAGTATAAAATTTGTGTTATATATATATATATATATATATATATATATATATATATATATATATATATATATATATATATATATATATATATATATATATATATATATATATATATATATATATATATAAAGATATATATATATATATATATAAAGATATATATATATATATATATATATATATATATATATATATATATATATATATATATATATATATATATATATATATATATGTATGAACAGTGAATTTTTAAAATGCGGTATATCGATTGTTGTGGTATTGACTTTTGATATCTTATATATTTGGAAAAACTATTATTGCTTCATGTAAACATGCATAAAGTATTAGATAATGCCAATAGTTAAAATATAGGTAAAAAATTATATATATTTTTATTTATTTATAAATTAGCATATACTTTCAAAATAGTGTATATTCAATTACAGCTTATTAGCGAAATGTGGTATATCCATTTTATAAAGATATTATGGAAAGTTTATAAACTTTAAAAGACTTAAATATCTTTTAATAATTAATTTTATATAATATATTGTATAACTCTGTGTATTCAATGTTTTGGTATTTATTTTTTAATAATAATGTGAATGTAAACAATGTTATGTTAAAGTAATGAAAACTGTTATGTTTTAAAATTCTCAATTGTGTATTTAAATTTATTTCGAAGAGTTAAGTATGACCAATAATCCATAATATTTTATATTTTGTATTAAATTTTAAAGTTTAAAACTAACATTTTAATTAAAAAGTATGGTCCTATTTTCCATTTTATTGAAAATTAAACGACAAAAATAGTTTTTTGAACAAAAAGTTAACTATCATCTTTAATAAACAGTGGATTATCTGCTTTAGAATTTATCAGGTGTCTCATAAAATTTGTGTATTGTGTTATCTGCACCAACAGTATCTAGCAGACAAAAAATATATTTTTTTAAACATTTTTTACAAGTTACACACTAGAACACTTAGTTTAAAATTATCCTATTTCTTCCCTCTTATTAAGTAGACTATGCGAGGTTTGCTCAGATTGATGGCAATATATTTTACTATCACTCAAAACACAAACAAAAATGATCAATTCCAACCATCTGAAGTTATACTTCCTAATAATTGTTTTTTTTCCGCTTTAAACTCTAAAGCTTGCCAATCCTGGCTATAAACAAAAACTTTCCCATGTTGTCTTAAAATGTCTATGTAGTAATTGGTATCACTAGAGGAATGCATGGGTGCAAGCCGCACTAAGTGACACCATCACAACCTGATACAGAGGAGTGGCACCAAACTGAATATTATATATATATATATATATATATATATATATATATATATATATATATATATATATATATATATATATATATATATATATATATATACTATATATATATATATATATATATATATATATATATATATATATATATATATATATATATACTCGAAACATTTTTATAATAATATACAACATGTTATAATTAATTTTTTCAAAAAAATCTGTTTTTTTCTTTACACTGGAAGTTAGATAAATTAAGATATTTTTATAAAAATTAGTTTTGAAAAGAATTCTTTAGAATATGGGTGATTTCTGTTTGGTTTTTTATGAATTATATTATTATTATTATTATTATTATTATTATTATTATTATTATATTTTCTTTGCCGTATAATTAAATCTACAATGAGAAAAAACCATTCATGTATAAAAATTGGCCGGAGCAAGAAGAAGACATAAACTGTCTTATCGCCAAGCCCCGTTTACATTAACGTCACAAAGTTACAAGTTAAAAACTAAAAGGTTAAAAATTAAAGTACAATACAATATTAGTTCGACAAATATAAGACACAAGTAATAAATCGAATAAATGTTATTTGTCTGTTCAAAATTAATAGTATATATATTTTTTATTTTAATAAGAAATAAACAAGATACACAAGACAATAGTAAATGAGTAGTGATGACTTTTTCAGGTTTAATTATTTTAGGTGATTTTAGAAGAAATCTTTAAAATCGAAAGTTTTTTCTAATAGAAAACGTTTAGATTCTCTTTTGAATTGTTCTAAGGAGATGCCTCGAAGAATTTTATTTTTAATTATATTTTTTAAAAAACCTTTCCATATAAATGGTCCCCGGTATTGAATTTGAAATGAATTGAGTTTTAAATAAGATCTTGGAATAACAAAATTATCAGATGAAAATTTAGTGGGATATTTATGAGATATTTCGGTAAAGTAAGACTGAAATATATTAGGAGATAACGCATGTTTTGTTTTAAACGTAAATAGCATAACTTGGTATATATTAAGTTTGTAAATATTAAGCACATTAAGTTTCTTTAAAAGAGATTCACCATTAACAGTTCTGTTAACGCCAAAAATAATCCTACAAGCATGTTTTTGTTTGCTATAAATTTTTTTGAGCTTCCCATAATTGCTACTTGCCCATGCAAGATTACAATAGGAAAGATAACTATGAATAAATGAGAAATATATAATTTTTAAAGATTCCGTATTAAGAAAAGGTTTAACTTTATATAGCATTGAAATATTTTTGGAGATTTTATTTTCAATAGATCTAATATGATATTTCCATGATATATTTTCATCTAATATCACTCCTAGAAAGTTAATAGTTGACTCTCTTTTAATAACTTTTTTGTTCATAAAGAGATCAGGTAGTTTTAAAAAAAGGTTATCACCTTTACTAGGTTTGTGGAACAACATAAATTTAGTTTTCCCAACATTTAATGAAAGTTTATTATTCGTAATCCATTCATTTATTTTTAATAACTCTTCATTAAAAATTCTAAACAGATCTTTAATATTTCTGTTAGAGTAAAAAAGATTCGAGTCATCAGCAAACAAAATAACGTTTAGAATTTTGGATGCTAAATACAAATCATTAATGAACAGTATGAATAATAAGGGCCCTAAGATTGATCCCTGGGGAACACCACAAGTTATGATATGTTTTTTTTCTTCATTTTCTGTATATATTATGTATTGTTTCCATGGCCTACTTAAATTACATGTAATTTAAGTAGGCCATGTTGTTTCCTGTTTGAAAGGTAACTTTTAAACCATTGTAAGTTATTGTTTAATACTCCATACATTTCTAGTTTTTTTATTAGAATATCATGATTAACAGTGTCAAATACTTTTGACAAATCAATAAAAACTCCTAATGTATAGCAATCATTATTGAACCCATTGGATACATAATTTATTAGATCGACTACTGCATGGTCCGTTGAATAATTTTTTTTAAACCCAAATTGTTTATTATACAGAATATTGTTTTCAGTTAAATAGTTGTTAAGTCTATCATACATAATTCGTTCTAACAATTTAGAGAAACATGGTAAGACAGAAATAGGTCTATAATTGGACATATTTGTATCATCGCCATTTTTAAAAATAGGTATAATCTTAGCAATTTTTAATTTCTCCGATACAATACCGGATTTTAAAGAAAGATTAAAAATGTGAAACAGTGATGGTTCAATAATATCAAACACAGCTTTAACTACATTTACGCTAATTTATCAATGCCCGCACATTTATTATTTTTTAGACAGTTGAAAGCATTGCGCATCTCACTTAAGTTTAAATTAGATTCTATCATAGATGTGTTGGGTGTATTTATATAAGATTCGAAGTTGTTTGAGTTTGTTTTTTGGAATTTTATCAGCTAATTTTGGTCCAATATCAAGAAAAAATTTGTTGAGCTTGTTAATTATGACTTCTTTATTATAAATTATATCCCCGTCAACTAAAAGTTTTTCTGGCAATTTATTATTTTGACATTTATTTGTACCGATTATCTGCTTAATTACATTCCACGTCTTTTGTGTGTTTCCATGTGTTTTTTCTAGCAATTTTGCATAATAATTTTTTTTAGATTGTTTCTTTATTTTTTCAAACAAGTTTTTAAAATTTTTATATTTTGTTTCATTTTTATATGTTTTATGTTTTAAATATTTTTCATAAAGGTTTTGTTTCCTCTTTGATGATTTGAGTAAACCTTTGGTCATCCAAGGGTTTAAAAGTGATTTAGGATTTATAATTTTTTTTATAACTGGAAATGCCAAATCATAGTATTTACAAAACTGCGCCAAAAATAATTCATACGCATTATTCACATCTTGCGATTGTAATATAAGATCCCAATTAGTTTTTTCAGATAAAAGATTTCGAAAATATATTATGGAGTTTTTATTGATTTGTCGCATTGATATTGTTGATTTAGAGACAGAATGATTAAGGGTTATATTATCTGTAGTTAAGAATATTGGGTAATGATCTGTTAAGTCAGTTTTAATTATACCCGATTTTAAAGGGCAATTATGAAAATTATTAGTAAATATGTTATCTAGTAAGGTCGACGAAGTCTTAGTTATTCTCGTCGACTTACTTATAGTGGGAATGATATCGTATTGTATAAGTGTATCTAAAAAGCATTGAACATTTAGATTTGAAACATGATTTAACAAGTTTAAATTATAATCACCAGTTAAGTACACGTGTTTCTTTGTAATGTTAATTTTGCTTAAAAATGTTTTTAGATAGGTATGAAACTTTTTTAAATTACCAGATGGCTTTCTATAAATAGAACTAATAATTATATTTTTGGTCGCTTTATTATTTATTTCAATGCATAACGACTCACAATCTGTTTCGTTAACGCTGAGGTCGTTACGCAATTCAAAGTTAATAGATTTGTGAACAAAGATACTTAAACCACTACCGACAACGTGGTTTTGACGCTGTTGGTGGACTGACACGTAATTACTTAGCTCATAATTATAGTTTTTTTCATTGCTTTTCAACCACGTTTCCGTGAGAGTAATTATTTGAAAATCATGATTTAGATCATGCAATGATAATTTTAGATTATCAAAATTTTTATTGATACTTCGAATGTTTAAATTTAAAATTGAAAAACTATTTATTTTATTTTTTTGACACAAAAAATGAATAGCTTCACGGATTGAATAATACTCACTTTCAAAGTTTTTTTTATTGAAATAGTCATCATCACTCTCAGTATTCAAATTTAATAAAAGATTATCATCCATTTTTAAAAAAGTAGAATATAATAACAATCTAAATCATATATATAAAAAAAAGGAAAAATAAAAGGTACCGTTAAGCTAGAAGAAACATAAAATATTTACTTTTCTTTTGGAGACCATTCTCGTACAATCAACTTGTCGTATGATATAAACGCGAATTTCCCACCTTCTCGAGCTTTTTTCATTTCCATCCGTAATTCTTTTCTTATTTGTACCGTCTCCGCACAATAATCCTCATTTATATATATGTTTTTGCCTTTTAATTTTGAAGAATTTTTTAGGATTCTTTCTTTATCTTTATAATTTAGTAATTTTAGTAATATAGATCTTACTTTTTTGCCGTCTCTGATTCCAGTTCTGTGAGCCCTTGCAATTTTAATTTCTTTCAGTCCAAGTGATTCTTCAAATAGCTTCAACACTTTTTCTTCACTATTGCTCCAACTTTCATTATCATTTTCTTTTAAACCGTCGATTCTCAGGTTATTCCTTCTCTATCTATCTTCAATTTCTCTTAGTTTACTTTTTACCTTTAATAACTCACTTTTATCCCTTAATTTACTATTTATTTCTTTAGTTTTCTTTTTTACTACCTCGAATTTCTCAGTAGCAATTTGATCACTGGTCGTTATGTATTTCTTTAATTCCGTAAAGTCAGCCTCAAGAGAGATTACTTTTTTAGTTGGTATCTCTAAATCATTTTCAATTTTGCTAATCTTTTGAAGATTATTTATATTATCTTTTTCATATTCATTCAGCCTTTCTGTGAACATTTTAAAGTTTGCAGCTGTTAAGGATGCAAAACTCTTTTCTTGTTTTTTTAAAAGTTTTTTTGTTTCATCTAAGTTGGAATTTTTATGTTTCTCAAGTAAACCAGCAGTATTAGTTATATATAATTATGTTATATAAAATAATTTACATGAGCAGGCGCGGATTTAGAGAAGGCACAGCCGGCTCATGCCTCCCCCCCCCCCCCCTAAAATTTGATTAATTTTTTATTTATAATTATGTCGATCCATTCTCAGGTCAGATATTCACTCTATAAAAGACAGACATTCACTCTATAAAACTAACAGCGTATTTCTGTAATATCAAAAAAAACTCTTGCTTTGTAATTGGAAATTGCAACAATACATGTAAAAGTGTATTAAATATATAAATGTTGAGAATTGAAAATGTTTTTGCTATTCATTCATGGAAAAAAAACAATGATTTTGCAAATGTTATATTAACAAAACTAGTTAGAAAAGGTTACTGGAAACTGTCCATTTTGGGTTGTCATTTCATTAAAAATCATTAGCGGCTGATTATAAACCCCAGAAGGGAAGGGGGATACCCCCTCCCCTTAAACCCCACCCCATGCTGAAAGAAGAAGTTCAAGTTAAATTTTTTTTTTTAATTATATAAATACAACTTAATTTAGTAATTTTTGTATCCCGCAAACCATAATCTCTGCAATAGATGGTATTTGTCTTTTCAAAAAATTTCAAAAAATATTGAGGTCATAGCTATGATGTTGCAGGGACAATATTTGCAAAATTTAGGGGTGTTTTATCTAGAAATAGAGTTAAATTCAAAAATGCTCCTAGCTCACTGCGTGTGTTGAAAACTTAGTTAAGTTTTTGGTAAATAAAACAATTTTTAAGAAATGCGAATGCTGTCTCAATAAGTTCATTTTTATGGCTAAGCAAAATTAGTTAATACATGTCAAACTAGGTAAGTTCAAAAATGCAAATGTGTAGATTTTTTCACTCAATGGAAGAAATCACAAGGCATCATTGGTTGATCGTTTTTTTAAACCAAGTTATAACATCAGCAAATTTCAAGAATAACTCGAGTACAAAAATTAAACGTACAATTATTAATACAGTCTCTAAGATTATCGCTGAACAAAATTATAATTAATAAACGTCGGAACATTTTCACTAGTTTTTTTTTAGAAGACGCCACAACGTTTATAAACAATTAGTTAAATACCCTGGACGATAAATAGTTATATCATCTTTATCAGCAAACATAAAACGTTCCTTTGACAAATTATTAGAAAAAAATAGTTAATATAGTTTTTAAGGAGATTATTATTAATGCGTGTATTAATGCGCTTAAAATGCATTCTTTTTGTTTTGTATTTTAAGTTTACTTCATTATTACTTTGCTTTTTTATGGATTTTTTATAAGTTTAAATATATTTACAAGCATTATACAAAATATTATGCGCAGTATGGTAATAAATTATTTTTATGTTTCAATACTTTGACTGTAGGTTTATGAGCATTCTGTTTTTTGTGGCAACGCTTTCATAAAACGGTTTTTCACAAAGCATTTTCATTTTTCATAGACATGAAAATACCCAAGCTTGGAGTTTACACAATGCCTGAAAGTGTCTTATCTGAAAGATTAAAAAATCCTGCGTGTGCCCGTGGGCACATCTGGTATCAAATACCCATTTAGGAGTATCAATATTAGCCTATGAGTATTTGATAATCTATATTTTGACTGAGTAATTATTTTTAAAGCAGCAGAGAGGTGTTTTAAAAAATGGCGCTTTTTTAAATGATATATCGTCCCATGAGAGTTATAGATTTGTTTTGGCTTTTTTTATGTTGTAAGAACTTAGTTTTCAATATTTCATTTTTTATATGTTTCATTGCTGTTATTTTTTATAATTATAAATTATAAGTCGTTTATGTTATTTATGTTTCATGATTAAACTTATATTATTTATATAATTTTTAAATTGTTTGTTTTTGTCATTAGTAATTAATTAAAAGATAAAAAATATAGATAGAACTCTATGATTCGAAGATATTTTTTTCCACTTACTTATAAAAAGATTTTGTTTCTTAACTTTGCGAATGATTTTATTGGTTTCGAATGCAAGTAAAGAACCATGGTTTCGATAAGCCTTCCTGGGTTTATTCGTGCATATAAACGTATTTATTAAATATTATGTTCTAAACCACGTACGTTGATCACATTTTTAAAACTTACAATAGTTTTTCAATAAAAAAAATCAAAATAATAACTTGACTCCTACATCCAGGTAAGAAAATATGTTACGCTTTAATTTACAATTCTACAGATTAGATATCGAAAGTATTACTAAGGTTTTTTTTTATGCTATTTACGTCCCTAAGGCCAAAATTGTTGCAGTCGAAAAGAATACTTTATTCTAATTACAACCCTCTGATTTCTGAACATCTTGACAAACAAAGCCGCTGCTCAAAGAAACAAGTTGAGGGAGGTGCAATCAGGGACATGGTTGGGATTGATCTCAGAATTTCTCGCTTATGAAGTGAGCGCTCTACAATTACTTTATTAGTCAAATTTTGAGCGCCATAAACTCAATGTAAAGTTTCTTACTTCCACTACACTTTCTTATACTACAACTGAATGCACAAAACTTTAAAAACCGGTTTTAAAAGATGTCATTATTATTATTATTATTTTTAATATATAAAGCTACAATAAACCATCAAAAATTCCAATGCTGGACTAGCATCAAAAATACCAACGCTTGAAAAGCTTCAAAAATAATGCACTATTCTAACAAAATACCGGTATTAGAGTGAGATCTAAATTGCCTATACTAAAGTGCGGCCGTGGCGCAGTGGTTAGAGCGCTTGTTTTATGAGCAGGAGATCCAGGTTCGAAACAAGCTCTGGACATATTTTCGGTGGACATATTTTCACGGTAAGGAAGGAGGCGTGAACTTCCTGGTTAAATGCACTTCCGCGGTGCTCTGTGACAAGGCCGGTAGATTTTCTTGGGGTACCTAAATAACAAAAAAAATAAAAAATTAACATCAAAATTATTTTTTATTTTTATTTTTTGTGACATTTCGATCTATTTTTGCATAGACCATCATCAAAAGAAAAAATAACAAATAATACGTTTATGCATATGTTTTTTATATATTTATAACTAATTGTAACTTTACGTACTACAATTTGTAGTACGTAAAGTTACAATCAGTGGCGGACAGGGTTGACTGATTTAAATCACATCGATTTAAATCAGTGATTTAAATCAAGATTTAAATCAAAAATCAAAGTTAGATTTTGTTAAACCTCAATCCGCCACTGGCGGATTGAGGTTTAGTGTCGCGGGGGGGGGGGGGGGGGCAAGTCAATAAATAGGGGCGACCGGGGTTGCCTTCAGTAATTTAATCTTATATATATATATATATATATATATATATATATATATATATATATATATATATATATATATATATATATATATATATATATATATATATATATATATACATATATATATATATATATATATATATATATATTAATTGTTTTAGGGGGCGCCGTTAGACCGTTTTAGGGGGGGCGTGGGAGGGCAGCTAAATCCGCCACTGGTTACAATTAGTTATAAAATATATATATATATTTTTTCTTTTGATGATGGTCTAGACCATCATACTACAAGCTGTTATTACAAGAAATGTCGATAAAACACTTAATATAATAATAATATTGTTTAAATACTGTTTTAGTATTTCAGTTTTAACAAAAGTTTTTTGGCAAAATATTGTTATTTTAAGTCTTTTCCAACACTTTTAAAAAGTGTAAGAACATAAGTTTTTGATTTTCTTTACGTTTTATATATTTTTGATTTTCTTTATGTTTTTAATTTTAGTTTTTAAAAATAATTGCTATTAAAAAATTTTGAAATTTTTTAAAAGCAACTACAAGGACTCTAACTTTTATCTATCCCTATTTTTAATTCCATCAATTGGTATGTGATAAAAGATATATTTATTTTATCATAATTTCTTTATATATTTTTAGATTATTCTGGAAATGCTTGGAGATATTCTTCTGTATGTGTTATTAAACATTAATTTTCAATTATTCAGCGGTCATTACACTTCAAATTACGATCTTAATTATGCGGCAGGAGGGGGTATATTTATCCCGGTTGGCTTCAACAGCTTTCCTGTTTTGAACTCATTGAATCAACGACGGAATGATATTCCAGGTGGGTTGAAATAAATAAGATTAACAAAATATATAAATAATATTTATAAAATTTAAGTATTAATTGTAATAAAGACAAAACAAAATGATCGGTTGAAATTTGGACGATTTTAAATTGACAATCACTATGATCGGTTGAAATTTGGAAGATTTTAAATTGAGTTTTATCAAAGTTAACTTAACCGATTGTAATGATTTTCTTTTCATAATTTCGCTTACATGATTAATTTTTATTTTAATAAAAATAAAAATTCACTTTACGAAGTACTAATAAAAATAAAAATTTTTAGTACTTTAATTTTTTGTAAAGTATCTTCCATCATCTCCATAATTTTACTTTGCGCCATTTTTTTTCTTGCATTAATCTATAAATCTCGGAAAATTTTTACACTATTTTCAATTTGTCTTTTTTCCTCTATATTCCCTTCACAATTTCCCAGTAAGTTTTAATAATTCGCTACTCAGGGCAATTTGGGGAATTAGCATCTTTGGAACAAAATTGACTCTTTTTTTCTTATACCACTGAATTACTTTTTTGGAATAGTGGATCTATGCCAGATCTGGCCAAAATAAGGTTGATTATTTGTGCTTTTTAACTAGAGGAAGAATTTGTTTATTTTTCTTTTTAAATAGAGGAAGAAATCGTTTTTTCAGGCATTCCCTCACATATAAATCTGGTGTCAAAGATTGATTTGTTATAAAAGAAGAGCTTTTAAAACCTGAACTGCAAATTGCCTGCCATACAAGTAACTCGAAAGTGATTTTTTTACTCAAATGTACTTAAATTTGTCAGAAGATTTATAACGTTTCGACTAATAATAGTATTGATTACCTGGAAACATCGAGCGATCTTTTTTACAGTAATCTTCGTCATTTAAAATGCATAATTTTTTTTCGTAATTAATTTAGGCAAATATTTAGCTCATCCAATAGCCTTGATTTCTTTATCAAGCAACCTTTTTTGGAATTTTTTTCTTGTAATGTTCTTTCAAATTTTATTTTTTAAATAGTCTTTGAACGAAAGCTTTATTGTATTTAAATTTCATAGCTAAATCTTGTTGTGACTGAGTCGGATTTTGATGAATTGAGTCAACTTTTGATTTTGCCTTCTTTATAGAAATAAATCTTGATTTTCTACCACTACCCGATTTTACAGTTTTGTTTTCCTTATAACATTTTACAATATTTTCAACAGTTGGTTTTGGAATTTTACGTGTTTTTGAAATCATGGAAATGAGAACGATGAATTTTGTATGTAAAATTACAATGTTTTTTTCGATTTTCTGACTCTTTACTCAACATTGCAAAAACCAATAAGAAATAAACAAAACTACACTCACACACAAGAAAACTAATTATATTAGCATCATTATTAAAAAAATCATAACAATTGATTGAGTGGTTTTTGAGAAAGCTTAATTTAAAATCGTCCAAATTTCGATCGACCATGATGATAAATATTTCAATCGATCATGATGATAAATATTTCAATCGATCATGATGTTAAATATTTTAATGCTACTCATAATTTATATTTAAACACGATAAAATATAATCGGTAAACGAAACATCGGTCGGACACGTTAAAATTCAGCAAACTTCAAACGTTAATTACCAAAATTAAGTTAATTAAATGTGTTAAACAAATTTTTTTTATTTTTAACATCATGCAGCTATTGTGTTGTTATTTAATTGTCATGGTGTTAAGAGCCATTTTCATAGAAATCCAGACAAAATATCCAGACCTAAAAGTGGTATCTTCAATTTACCTTCATTTTCAAACATTTTGTATTTATTGTATAACTAAAATTAGTCTTACTAAAATTTTTGGTCGTTTAAATTTAGCATTTTTGGTAAATTTCAGGGTAAAATCACTGGGAATAAAAATGCAACTAAAGTGGCGAGCTTACCATATGAATTTAAAAGAAGCATTTTTTTATTTTTTCTGTAAATTTACAATAAAATAGTCGACAAAAAAATAAAATAAAAATAAAATAAAAAAAAGAAACTAGAAAAGAAGATTTCGTCATTAAATGATAATATAACGCAGAACTCGAATAGACAATCAGGTCTTGACAATAAGCCAAGTTCGTAACAATTGTTACAGAAACAATTGTTCAAGAACATTAACTAAGAATATATATTCGAATTAAGAATAAATTTAGTATAAAGAAATTCAATTTTTTAATATTATATTAAACTAAAAAAGTACTTTTTTGCGGTAATAAACACTTAAGATATGCATAAGATAAAATCTAGTGATTTCCTAGTACTAGTTTTTGCCAGGTCCCAAAAACAGAGTACTGGAAACATTGAGTGCCAAGTCGAGTATCACTGGGTATATTTTGTTAGATTTTTGAAATAATAGTCTTTAAAATCCCTGATATTTTGGCGCCTAATAGTGTTAATTAGTTTCCGTTCATTTATAAAAATTTCAACTGACAATTTTGTTAATATAACGTTCTCTCTCCCTCTTTTTTATATATAAATAAAGTTTAATCCAAGCGTTTATTTGTTTCACAGTTGATATTGTAATAAAAAAACTGAGGTTATTGTTCTAACACCGGGTTCCATGGCTTTTCTTTCGACAGATATATAAAGTATTGTAATACATGCTCGCATATCATTTTTCTGACGACAGATAATGGTTTCTTGAAAATCACAGAACTCATGTCTTAAAAAACCAAAAATGTGTTCAATTTTGTCGAATGCAGCAGTTATTTATTAAGTTAATTATGTAAAATATAAAAGAATGTCTATTTAAAAGAGTGCCTGCCAAAACCAAAACAATCTAAGAATGTACTATTCGCTGTCCCTATCCCTAAATCAGTCGATGTAAGAAACTCAAATTTTAATTTTTGTAACCGCCCGTTTAATTATAAAAATGTATTCTGGAGCAACATTTTTATTTACAACTCTTATTAGTAATTAATTTTCTATCTTTTATATAAAACTATGTAATGTTATTTTTGCAGAGGAGATTAAGGAAAATTTAAATTTTAAAGAAAATATCATCATAATATTTCTTTCATACGTTAGTTATAATTTATTAAAAAAATAATGATAAAAAGTTATTTAAATTTCTTTAGAGAGTTTAATGGAGCACGTATTAAATTTTTTTTTTTTTTTTTTTTTTTTTTTTTTTTTTACTTAAATAAAAATATAATTTTTTACACATTTAATTCTATAAAAACATACAAATATATATACTTATATATATATATATATATATATATATATATATATATATATATATAAGTTAAGAAAAAAGATTTCATATATATAGATTACGATAAAAAGATTTCTTAAGAGTATTAATATACAACAAAACAAACTTAAAAATATATAAGAATGTTTTCAATTGAGAAAATAATTTTTTTCAACTTTCTTTTAAATAAGAGAAAGCTCCATTCTTGAGAAAAATCAAAAAGTTTTAATACTACTTTGTTCCATAAAAATGCTCCTCTAAATGAAATGCAAAACTTACCAAAATTAGTTTTGAAAACTGGTTGAAGAATAAAATTTTCATTACGCAAATTGTATTTATTTTTAACTTTTAAAGAATATAAATTGTGAAAAGAAATTGGAGGTGTGCGTGTTTTACATTTAAACATAAAACACAATACATTAAAAATATTAAGTTGATATGTATTAAGAATATTCATTTCGTTTAACAGAAGCTTAGCATGATAAAAACAAATTTTAAAATTAATAAGTCGTGCAACGTGTTTCTGTTGGCGATAAAGTTTTTCTAATTTAGTTTTTCTAACACTACCCCAAGCCGCATTAGCATAGTTTAGATGGCAATGAATAAAAGAGTGGTACAACTGAACTAAAGTATGTCTAATTAGCATGTTTCTTATTTTGAATAGTATTCCTATACTTTTGGAAATTTTAGATGATAAGTTTTCAATGTGTTTTTTCCATGTCAGATTTTCATCAATTAAAACTCCTAAAAAATTTGTAGCCGTTACTCTTTTAATTTGTATGTCATCTATAAAAAGAGCAGGCAATTCACTCGGTAGAAGATACTTTTTGTAGCATGGATGAAAAAGAGACCATTTTGTTTTTTCAATATTAAGAGAAAGCTCATTTAATTTAAACCATTCAGAAATTTTAATTAAAATAAAATTAATCATACAAATTATAAATACTATTAATCAGATAAGTTATAAAACAGAGCTATAATTTTCTTTAATAAAATTGTTAAATTGTTATGAACTTGTTATGAACACCCCAGGGCTGACAATACGGGTTTCAAAGTGTGTGTGTGTGTGTGTGTGTGTGTGTGTGTGTGTGTGTGTGTGTGTGTGTGTGTGTGTGTGTGTGTATGTGTGTGTATGTGTGTATGTGTGTGTGTGTGTGTGTGTGTGTGCGTGTAGGAAGTGAGGGGGTGGGGGGGGTCACAATTGTCAAATTTTTAAAAAAGTCCTCTAAATCGAGAATTTTCTTTACAAAAATAAAAAAGGTCCTTTACATCGAGGGGGCTCCCTGGTATCGTCGGCTCTGCACCTTACTCCCTACTTCGACTTGACAATAATTAATGTCTCTTTTACGTTTAAAGACTTTCGATATCTTTAAACGTTCGTGTTTACCATTACATAAGGCATAACAACAAAAAATAAACGTGATCGCTGAATGATTATCTATTTTATAAACTAATTTTTCAAGTATTTTATAGTTGACTGTAGGAAGTTTATAAAAATAACGTTTTTTAAGTATCATCAAAGTAAATGTTACCTTAAAAGTATTACCAATGCAAAAAAAAAAAAAAAAAGAAACAATTATTTGTTATTTGTAAAATGATATTTTATAATAAAAAACACTGTTCAAAATTAAGTATTTCACATGAAATTTAAAACCGCAAATAAAAATTTGAAACTTTGGTTCAGAAATTAATTAACTCCCAAAAAACTATTAAACTGGTAAAATTTTTACAGTCATACTTATGAGCCACATGCACGATTGAAAATTAATGAAGTTGTTAAAATTACATTAAATTGTAATAGTTAGGGAAACTAAATTTGTTATACAACTTTATTGTTTTTGGTTATCTACAAGTCCTGAAGGTCTTGTATTTGACGAAGAAGCAGAATATCATTATAGCCACATTAAAGATAAATTTCCTAAAATGAAAAAAAAAAAACTTATCTATCTCAAATTGTTTGTGTAACGTCGACTTTTATATTATTAATTTTACATTATTAATAAAAGATCGCCCTACTGATTGTTATGCACAAATATAAATGGTAATAGAGTTTAGTAGTTCCCAGTGTTGTGACTAAGATTAAGTAATGCCCAGTTTTGTGACTTTTTTTAACTAAGTACTTATAATAGCAGTTCTCTTAAATATATACATAACTAATAGTTATGTATATATTTAAAAGAATTGCTATTATCAGAACCCTTTTTGACAATAAGTCTTTTTTTGTTACATGATTCTTACATAATTATTTTCTACCACAAATATTGGATAATCACATAAATAGTGAAGAAGTACACCCTATACATAATTTTTAATTTTATTTTTTGACAGGTGAAGGGAGAATATTTTGCATTAAAGACAAGTCCCTGTCTATAGTTGATTAATTAAACCATTGAAAGCAAAAGTGTTCTATATAAAACCTTTGTCATAAAGTTTTATCTAGATAAAATGACCATAATGACCTTCTGTAGCATCTTCTTTACTTAACTATAATTACTTGTTTAAAAAAGGATTTATTTATATTAAAATTGATTGTTTTTAAATGATCAGTCGTAGTCAT